ATGCCAAATTATGTTTATAAATACTCTGGCCATTTCTGACCGCATAATAAAGACTGCTTGGGCGAAGTATAATGAAACTGCTAATCTAGAAGACAGACGAGGTCGTCACGGGAATAGAATCCATAAGAAAATTAGCGTTTGTGAAGAAATACAGATGGATGAAAATCCCCAAGAAATGACGACTGACAACTCAGTACTGAATAACATGTCTGATCCTCTTACGGAAGATGTTGATAGCAATGACTTGAGTACGTTTTCTTTGGAAGTTTCTCAAAGTATGGAAAACCCACAGATAAAGCTTGAAAAGCTAATAGAAGACGCTCTAATGAACGAATCGACTCCAGAACTTTTAGTATCAACTCCCATACCATCTCCTGCTAATAGCGAATCTATCTGTGACAGTGGACTCTCTCTTAATCATACAAAAGTAGATACCACTAAAAATTCATCTGCTTCTGACAAGAGAACTACAAGAAAACGAGTGAGACATACAGAAGAATGGCGAGATGTCAAACGTAAACGTCTTAGAAATTTAGGAAAGAAATACATAACGAAAAAAGGCAAAGAAGTAGATGAAAAATCTATGGGAGCACCTTGCGAATGTCACTATAAATGCTATGACAGAATATCTGAGGAACAAAGATTGGAATGCTTTAAACAATTTTGGCAACTAGGAGATAGAGTGCAACAGTGGAAGTTCATTATAAAACATACAGAGAAAATGAATAAAAAACGGTGTACGAATATCCATCTTAATAACCGTAGAAAATACACTTTTAAATATTATCTGCCGATACTTGCCGGTTCTAGCAAAGTCCCCAATTCTAGCGATACAACCAGTTCTAGCGAAACCGACTGCGAGAAAATTGCAGTATGCCAAATTATGTTTATTCATACTTTGGCCGTTTCTGACCGCATAATAAAGACTGCTTGGGAGAAGTATAATGGGACTGCTAATTTAGAAGACAGACGAGGTCGTCACGGGAATAGAATCCGTAAGAAAAGTAGCGTTTGTGAAGAAATACAGATGGATGAAATGACGACTGACAACTCAGTACTAAATAACATGTCTGATCCTCTTACAGAAGATGTTGATAGCAATGACTTGAGTACGTTTTCTTTGGAAGTTTCTCAAAGTATAGAAAACCCACAGATAAAGCTTGAAAAGCTAATAGAAGACGTTCTAATGAACGAATCGATTTCAGAACTTTTAGTATCAACTCCCATACCATCTCCTGCTAATAGCGAATCCATCTGCGACACTGCACTCTCTTTTAATCATACAAAAGTAGATACCACTCAAAAGTCATCTGCTACTGACAAGAGAACTACAAGAAAACGAGTGAGACATACAGAAGAATGGCGAGATGTCAAACGTAAACGTCTTAGAAATTTAGGAAAGAAATACATAACGAAAAAAGGCAAAGAAGTAGATGAAAAATCTATGGGAGCACCTTGCGAATGTCACTATAAATGCTATGACAGAATATCTGAGGAACAAAGATTAGAATGCTTTAAACAATTTTGGCAACTAGGCGACAGAGTGCAGCAGTGGAAGTTCATTATAAAACATACAGAGAAAATGAATAAAAAACGGTGTACGACTATCCATATTAATAACCGTAGAAAATACACTTTTAAATATTATCTGCCGATACTTGCCGATTCTAGCGAAGCGACGAGTTCTAGCAAAGTCCCCAATTCTAGCGATACAACCAGTTCTCGCGAAACCGACTGCGAGAAAGTTGCAGTATGCCAAATTATGTTTATACATACTTTGGCCATTTCGGACCGCATAATAAAGACTACTTGGGAGAAGTATAATGAAACTACTAATTTACAAGACAGACGAGGTCGTCACGGGAATCATAGAGTCATTAAGAATACAGCAATGGAAAATAGCGTTTGTGATCATGTCCGGACATTTACACCATCTAGATCGCTTCGCAAAAAGAACCAAAAAATCCATTTAAAAAAACTTAGTTTTACAAAAATGTTTAAGTTGTACCTAAACTGGTTTGACCCCAAAAAATACACGTCTAAAGCGACTACGTTAAGACATTATCGAGATATTGTTAATTCAAACTTCAATATAGTTTTTAGTCGTACCAAAAAGGATTCGTAAAATATAATAGGCTAGTAGACAGTGTATGAAAATTTAAAATCTAATTAGTCCGTCAGTTAGGTAATGAAAAAATATTAGACACGTATTTTTTTATTTTGTTGTATAATAAAATGATACTTAGATATAACGAATCAAAGTTTAGGAGTGGGGGCTAAAACGTCATTTCTATTATTTCAAAATATTAAACACATATTTTTTTTATTTTGTCGTATAAGAAAACAATGCTTAAAAAAACGAAGTTAAGTTTAGGAGTGGAAGGTCGTTACGTCACGCTACTCTATAAAATATAATAAATCGTGACGTGACATGCTATTTCAAATCAATATATCGTTGAAAATACGTGTCTAATGTTTTAAAATAATCTACCAGACGGACATTGAAATAAAATTTAGGAAAGTACTCTATTATGGCATATTTTCCGATTAAAAAAATGTCTAATGGATAATGCAAAATATTTGGTCTTTAATAATAGAGTAATAAGAACGACACAATGATATTACTTCAGTAGTTTTAATTATTTGAATCTTGATAGGAGACTTTTGATAGGAAAAATCATTTAATGACTTCTCCCACCTTCGGTGAGGCGAGGGTGGTGCAAGACTCACTGACTAAACTTGTAGCAAGGTGTTGTGTGCAAACTGTCGCCACCGCCGCGCCTCGAGGGCACTCCGCGAGCTGTTTGTGCGGAATTATCCCGTTCCTGCTATATAGAGCTGGAGCCACAGTAACCCGCAAGGTCGTCCGCAAATCCGGCTCATCTAGAGCTTGACTTTTTCTAATTCGTTCTTATTTTTATATACACTTGGGTGCAAAGTCACTTGCACAGCCACAGGTTCTTTTTTCATTTTATCGAACCCTCTGTAACTTTTAAATATATATATTCCTATTACAGCAAAATGCTCTCATTGTAACCACCACGCATGGGGCCCAAAAGGGCTGACGCCGATACGGAGCCGCGGAGAACTTAACGGGTAGAAGTAGGAACAGGGTGCTTTTTAGTCAGTAAAAGTACACTGCCTCCTCACCCAGGTGGGAAAAGTCATTCGATGATTTTCCCCCTTAGTGAAAAGTGCCTCCATTTCTTTGCTCCTAAGCAAAGTTGAGTTTTTCTCAAATAATTAACATGAGTAAGCCATATTCCTAATTAATATAAGTACATAATATTGTTTTTATAATAACTATCGTGAGACATACTAAATTAATTAAAATCACGGGTAACTCATGTGAATATAGGTACTAAGAAAAGCTCTACTAGTTTCGAACCACAGAGGGGTACTTCCTCATAGAGTAGAGCTTTTCTCAGACTAGTCTTTCTTTGTTGATTTTTTAAAATTATTATAATTAATACAAAAATCTATTTAAGTTTTAAACCATGTGTAAGTGATTTATGTTTAAAGTGGTATCGACCATTCAATGGTTTTGTAAACAAAAACGTTTAAATTATTAATCTTAATAAAGCATTTAAAATAATAACTAAGTGGTTTTCTTTATTAACTTTCCGCTGTAAGTAAGGTTGCCTAATGCCCAAACCCCTTATGCCCAAAAGGGTGGGCTTGCCATGCTTTGGCACGAATGGGCATGCTCGACCGGAGTAATACCACGACCGAGCAGAAAACCGACGTGAAACAACGCTTGCGTTACGTTTCATCGTGCGAGTGAGGTTACCAGGGTCACAAATTACAATTCCCTGAATCCCCAACAATCCTCAAATTCCTAATCCCCAAAAGGCCGGTAACGCACTTGTAATAACGCTTCTAGTGTTGTGTCCATGGGCGACGCCGATTGCTTACCATCAGGTGATCCGTCTGCTCGTTTCCCGGCTTATCGCATAAAAATAGAAAACTAATAGGAGCCAAACGGTAAAACCGCAAAGCTTAATTAATCATAGCGAAAGTAGTACCTAGTCATACTAATCATACCCGAGCGTGCGGCGCGTCGCGTTCCGCCCGCACCTCAAAGAGCCATCAGACCACCACAGATGGGGGCCAATAGGGCTGATGCCGATACGGAGCCGCGGAGAACTTAACGGGTTGCCGGGGCTCCGGCTCGAAGTGCAGGACTAGGAACGGGGTGGTTTTTAGTCAGTAAGAGTCTGACACTGACTAACACTGACAATGACTGCACGGTTGGTGCGGTGGCTGGGCAACCGGCTGCCGTGCAACGTGTCGCGGGTTCGATTCCCGCACGGGACAACACTTTGTGTGATCCACAAATTGTTGTTTCGGGTCTGGGTGTCTTTGTGTATGTGAACTTGTATGTTTGTAAACGCACCCACGACACAGGACAAAATCCTAGTGTGGGCAACGTTTGAAACTCATACTAATATGACTAGGTATAGGTTCATTGTCGTGGTGGCCCGGAGGTTTAAGACGCCCACTTCTCATGCATGTGGGTGCGGGTTCGAAACCTACCAACGGCAAGTACCAATGTGACTTTTTCCGAGTTATATGTACTTTCTAAGATTATTTAGACACCACTGACAAACGGTGAAGAAAAAACATCGTGAGGAAACCTGGACTTATAATTTCTAATTATAAGTTTGAAATCGCCAACCCGCCTTGAGCAAACGTGGTTATTGATGCTCAAACCTTCTCCGTGTGAGAAGAGGCTTTGCTCAGCAGTGGGCATTTATAGGCTGTTGATGATAATGATGATGATGCTGATGAAATGAGGAAGTTTGTGTGTCCGTTTGTCGGTATGTCTGTATGTTTGTTACTCAATCACGTCAAAATGTGTGAAGTGATCAGGATGAAATTTGGAACAAGGGTAGATTATAGTCTGGAATTAGACATAGGCTACTTTTATCCCACGGAAACGCGGGCGAAACCGTTGGCAGAAGCTAGTACAACTATTTTATACGTTTTTGTTCCTTTAGACGTGGACATAAAAGAAGAAACACTAGAAGAGACATATTTTGAAGATATACCAGGGAAAAATGAGGTGTCTTCCGATGAGGATGTCCAGCTGTCCAAGCTTAAGGAAGAGACAGAACGAGACAAGAAGAGAAAGAAGAGTGAAAAGAAGAAGCAAAAGGTATGTAAATTGTTTTATGGTATATGCCGGCAAACAAGCAGACGGATCACATGATGATAAGCAATCAGCGCCACCCATGGACACCCGCAACACTAGAGGAGTTTCTAGTGCATAGCCGACCTTTCAGGGATTTGGGAATTGATGATCGAGGATCGACGATTGGTGATGGAGGATAAGGGGATAATATTATGCTTTCAATAACCTCACTCACACGACTAGAAACAAAACGCAAGTGCATGTCACGCCAGTTTTATCTGAGGTCGTCGAATCACTACGGTTGTGTCGGTCCACAAAAGGCAACAAAACTAGCTTCTATGGTGTTGCAGATGTCCATACTCGATTGCTTACCATCAGGTGATACTCGCTCGTTTGCCACTTTGAAAATATACTTTAGGCATACGCTTTACGAGCGAGCACGATGTATTCACTTAAATGTGGGAGAGCCATGCTTCAGCACGAATGGGCCGGGTCGACCGGAACCGGAGTGATACCACGGCCTCACAGAAAACTGATATGAAGCAACGCTTGCGTTGTGTTCAGTCGTGTGAGTGAGGTTACTGGAGGCATAATTACAACCCCAACCGCCCTAACCTCCCTTATCCCCGAATCACCAACAATCCTCAAATTCTGACTGCACGATTGGTGCGGTGGCTGGGCAACCGGCTGCCGTGCAACGTGTCGCGGGTTCGATTCCCGCACGGAACAACACTTTGTGTGATCCACAAATTGTTGTTTCGAGTCTGGGTGTCTTTGTGTATGTGAACTTGTATGTTTGTAAACGCACCCATAACACAGGAGACAATCCAAATGGGGGCAACGTTTTATTTAAAAAAAAAAGAAATCTTAATACCCTAAAGGTTCGCAACGCACTTGTAACGCCTTTGGTATTTCGGGTGTCCATGGTAGGCCCAGATTGCTTACCATCAGGTGATCCGTCAGCTCGTTTACGCTTATCACATAAAATCGTTATCCTTCTCTTACAGTTAGCCCCAAAAAAAGATAGACAGAAGAAAGAGAAAAATACCGAAAAGAAGAATAGGAAACTGAAGAATCTACCGGGAGATCTGGTAGAACTGTACACAATGTCGAATGATGAGATGTGGGTGATACGGTGGGAGGACCTGAACAGCAAAGAGTTCCAAAAACTTAAATACAGGTAAGGATTGATCTTTAGAATGTGGTGTGTATTGGTATTTAAATTCACTTGACTCCAGAATAGTTCGTGTGTGGACTTTCATTGAGAAAGTCCAAAATGAAATAGGTAAAACTTTGTGTTTATATTTTATTCATTTTATTTACATCGGAAAACATACAGTATTAACAGCTAACAAAAACACAATTTACGCAACTAATAACCAATTACATGTTTTCGCATTTAGTTATCTATGAAGCACACGCTTGAAAGAGAAAAAATGAATAAAGAGGTAATTAGGAATTATGGTAAATACAATAATATTAATTCTTGCAGTGCTAAATGGAACAGCTATCGAACCAATGTTTTGTAAGTAATCGATTGAATACATGAGGCTTAGTAACGAACAAGTCCAGTTCAGAAAAGTCGACCAGATATTGTTCTAAGAAATACACAATTCACAACTAATCTACATAGAATATTACAAAATATTACTGATTAACACCAAAGTTGGGAGACGACTGGCGTGCTAACGCTATAGGGTCGCCGCGCAGCTTTTTTTTTATCTTTGATGGGGCGACGACGTTTGACCACTATCTCACCTGATGGTAAGCGATGATGCGGTCCGGTCTACGATGGAGCACTAGTACGTCGCTACGCACTTGAGAACACATAAAAAATGTCAACATATTAGTGTCGCCACAAATCTGATTGTGCGGTTGGAGCGATGGCTGGGCAACTGGCTGCCGCGTAACGTGCTACGAAGTCGATTCCCACACGGAGCAAGTGTTTTTGTGATCCACATATTGTTGTTCCGGGTCTGGGTGTGATGTCTATGTGAACTTGTATGTTTGTATACATACCCACGACACAAGAGATAAAAATAAAAATAATTTATAATGCTGGGGTCCTCACGTAAATGTACTGAGGATAGCTCTACTAGTTTCGATTCACAGAGTGACTTCCTCATGAGCAGTTAAGGCTCGTTAAGGCTGGTTCTTCGACTTCTAGTCCAGTAGAGGTGTCGCGGAGAACCTAACGGGTAACCGGGGCTCCGGCTCGACGTGCAGGAGAAGGAACAGGGTGGTTTTTAGTCAGTAAGAGTCTGACACTCCCTTCCGCCTCACCCAGGCGGGAGCAATCATTCGATGATTTTCCCCCCTTAAAAAAAAAAAGTCCAGTAGAGGTCTTTCATTCAGCATGATTAAAAAAAAACACAGTTTAAGTTAACTTCATGTAATGGCTTCTGTGCGCCTCTGTCTACCCCTTTGGAGATTAAAAGATATATTTCTTTCTTTCACAGATGTGATACTTGCATCATAGCATTTAATACGGAGAAATTAATGCAAGACCATTTAAATGGAAAACATCAGCCGGTAAGTAGTTATAAAAAAATAAATATATAACTTTGTCTATATTGTTCTTCTATCCCACTATCAGATTCTCCTACTATGACTATCCCACCATCCTATCTCAGTATCCCACCATACTGTCCCAATATCCCTCCATCCTACCCTATTATCCAACTACCCTATCGTACTATCCTACCATCCTATCCTATTAGCCCATCATCTTATCGTGTTATCCCACCATCCTATCCTGCCCATCATCTTATCGTACTATCCCGCCATCCTATCCTGCCCATCATCTTATCGTACTATCCCACCACCCTATCCTATTAGCCCATCATCTTATCGTACTATCCCGCCATCCTATCCTATTAGCCCATCATCATATCGTAATATCCCGCCATTTTATCCTATTAGCCCATCATCATATCGTACTATCTCACCATCCTATCCTATTATCCCAACATCCAATCCTACTATCCCACCATCCTACCCACTATCCCATCACCTACTCTGCCATCCTGTCCTATCCCACTAATAAATTCGGAATATTCATGGATATATCAGTTATTTTTTTTTCAAGAAATTCAAATGTTAAATGAAATTGGGTCTATTTCAACAATTGAATTCGGAAATACCTGACGCTGACGCCTTTTTTGATTTGATTGATGATGATTGTTTATTAAATAGTGAAAAGTAGGTGCTACATTGTACAGTGGTATAATGTGCACCTTTGCCTACTCCTTAGGGGATAAAGGGCGTGATGTTATGTTATGATTGTTTATTAATAGGATATAATCCGAAATGGGTGGCAAGCTATAAGTTCCTGAAGATAAGACGAACTGATGACGATTTTACTTATAATTTTTTCTTTTACAGAAAGGTGAGAATTGCCACCAGTGTCCAATTTGTGAGGCATATTTCCTAACTAAAGATAATTTGTCAGCTCATAAAGCGTTGCACCAGCAAGGGTATAAGTGCAAGGAGTGTGGGTTCAATACCGGGTTGAAGAAGCGTATGATGAAGCATGTGGGTGAACATAAGACTGGAGATAGCTTTACTTGCAGCTCTTGTGGGTCTAGTTTTAGGTGAGTCGTTTTTTAAACATTACCCCATACTAGGATTGTTTTCTGTGTCGTGTGTGCGTTTACAAACATACAAGTTCATATACTCGGAACAACAATAGGGTAGATGACTAATTTTTATTTTAATGTCCGTCTAAGTAGATTATTAAAACATTAGATACGTATTTTTTATTTTTTAACGGAAACGAATAGTTTCGAATATATTATTATACTAGCTGTAACCCGCGACTTCGTCCGCGTGAAATAACGACTTCTGTATAAATTGGGTTTTTTAAATTAGTCTTTGTCAAGGTATATTCTACGGCTGTACAACTGGAACAAATATCATCACAATCGATTCAGTACCTAGGTTATATTTATTGAGAAATGAATTTATTTTCGTGATTTCTAAAATAAACAATCCCATAGAGGTTTTACCCGTACAGTGCCCGTCTCGTGAGGTTTCACCAATTCAAAATGTCGCGTGACGTCACTTCTATGTACATTTTATACGTAGTAATGATGTTTTAGCCCCCACTCCTTTTTTTATAGCATAAGCCGGTAAACGAGCAGACGGATCACCTGATGGTAAGCAATCAGTGTCGCTCATGGACACTTGAAACACCAGAGGCGTTACAAGTGCGTTACCGGCCTTTTGGGGATTAGGAGTTTGAAGATCGTTGGGGATTTAGGAATTGGGGAGATTGGGGACGGGGAGGGTAATTCGGTCTCCGGTAACCTCACTCTCACGACGAAACACAACGCAAGCGTTGCTTCACGTCGGTTTTCTACTCGGCCGTGGTATCACTCCGGTCGAGCTGGCCCATTCGTGCCGAAGCATGGCTCTCCCACACTTAAATTTAGATTCCTACACAATAGTTTAGATGAAATTGATTAATTAAACAAACATAATAATTTTACTAAATAAATGAAGAGATAAAATAAGCACGCCGCCGTGTAGTTACATATTTTATTGAATATGATATGTAACTATATACGAATATAAATGAATTATCTTTTTCTGACTGTCTCGTTGGCCGAGTGGTCGCAAGTGCGACTGCCGGGTAAGGGGTCTCGGATTAGATTCCCGGGTCGGGCAAAGTATTACTGGGTTTAAAAAAAATTCTCAGTAGTAGCACGGAGTCTGGAATTGTGCCCGGTATATGGCAATAGGTTCACCCCGTATTACATGGGACTCATGACATAAATAGTGATAAGTGGGCCTAGCCCCGGGTTTAGCCCCGAAGGGGTAGGCAGAGGTGCACATTACATATTTAAATGCGATAAAATGAGTATGAGTTACATGGGACTCATGACATAAATATTGAAAAGTGGGTGTTACATTGTACAGTGGCATAATGTGCAACTCTGCCTACCTCTTCGGGGATAAAAGGCGTGATGTTATGATGTTATAATGATCTTTTTCTGATATTAGATCTCTTAGATCTCTCTTAGATCTCTCTGCATGCTTTTCTCTATTCTGAATGATCCTTGTGCTCCTGAATACCTAAAGTCTTGCTTCCAGGTTCTGGGCAGTTCTCACAGCCGTAACCTCCGTTCTGCTGAAAATCTGCTTCTTGAGATTCCGTCCCACCGAACATCCTTCATTTCTAACTCTTTCACAGTTAGTGTAATTAAGTTATGGAACGCACTACCGCTTAACATAAAAAAGGCTCCCAATAAGATCACTTTCAAACGCGATGTTCACGATTTCTTTTTAAAGTCACTACAACGCTGAGTCTAGGTCTATTATTATTATATATGTATTATTATAGAATTTATTTATTTAGTATATATATATATATATGAGCATGCATATATATACCTATATATTTATGTTGTATTTATATTGTAGTGTACATTTTAAATATTTTTTGTACCTATCTATATTTATTAAAGTCTATTTATGTTATTTGTTTCTTATAATTACACATGCCTATTTTTTCGCCGATTATCAATTTAACCCTAAGGTTGACTGGGAGAGAATGCCATATGGCATTAATGTCCGCCTTATGTACCATTACTTGTTTCTGTGTACATTAAAGCTTAAATAAATAAATATTATTGTTTTTTGTTTCAGTACAAAATCGAAATTAATATACCATCGCGCTGTGTGTCGTCAAGAGAAGCCGCAATGTGACTGTTGTGGCAAAGTCTTCGCTAACAAGATGACTCTCAAGTATCACTTGAAGTAAGTAATATAATAATTTGTAGCGCACAGAATATGTCGCGAGCAATGAGGGCGACGCGCGGTCGTAAGCCGCTAAGATATGGAGAGGGGCACAGACATCGTGGCGGCTCGTTCTCTCGTAACCCCCGAGACCTGCAGCTGTAGCCAAACGCCATTTAGCGCTTGTCTACATGTAGAATATTTTTACCAACCAAACTATATGCAACTAGCTTTTACCCGCGCCTTCGCTTGCGTCACAAAAGGATAAAAAGTAGCCTATGTGACATATACCAATACACACAGCGCCATCTATACTAATTCTTTGGTTTTCCCTCGGGAATATCAAATTTTTCCGGGATAAAAAGTACCCTATTATTTAATCCGGACTTCTAACTTTACGTCTGCAAAAATTCAAAGCAATCGGTTTAGTAGTTACGACGTGAAAGTGGAACAAACAAACAAACAAACTCACTTTCCGATTTATAATATTAGTAAGGATTGACGTAAATTTTGACACTTGTCAGTGTCATCCCCATACATTTAGTTTTATACTCTCTCTGTAGACAAGTGCTAAAGTGGTGTTTGGCTAAAGGCACTGGGCTCGTTGCCATTGCAGCGGTAAGTCCCCTGTTTGAGGAGTGGCTTGAGAGACGCTACGGCGTCCTCACCTACCGCCTGACGTAGGTCCTTACCGGACATGGGAGCTTCAGTAGATACTGCCAGGACCGCCCTGAGGACACGGTGGAACACACAGTAGGGGCATGCCCTGCGTGGACTGAGCTCCGCCGTGCCCTCAGGAATGTGATTGGCGACGGCGAACGCTCGCGTCCGGCCCTAGTGTGGGTCATGATGCGAGGGGGACTGGAATGCCGTCTCCTGCTTTTGCAAAGCAGTCATGCTGGCTAAGGCGGGGCGCGTGTACAAATACAAATGTATGTACTACATACATAATCTCACGCCCGTCCCCCATGGGGGTAGGCAGAGACTATGGAACGCCAATTGATACGATTCCTACATACCTCTTTCGCTTCATCAACAGTCATCAGTCTCTTCATGCATTTGATATATCGCTATATAGGTCTGTGTATGTCTAGGGCGCCCTCTACCGACGTCCCCCTTCATATCCGCTTTTGTATACTTCTTTCGTTACTCTACTTACATCCATCCTTTCTACATGTCCAAACCAGCGTTACATTAGTTGGCCGGACTGTCCCGGGTTCAATTCCCGAATCGGGCAAAGTATTACTGGGTTTTTTAAAAATTCTCAGTAGTAGCACGGAGTCTGGAATGTGCCCGGTATATGGCAATAGGCTCATCCCCTATTACATGGGACTTATAACGTAAATAGTGAAAAGTAGGTGTTACATTGTACAGTGGCATTAAGAACCGTAATGTACGCCTCTGCCTTTTCGGGGATAAAAAGGCGTGGTGTTAAGTTAATATTTTATGTTATAAAAATGTATTTTTTTTATGGTTTAAGCCGGTAAACGAGCAGACGGATCACCTGCTGGTAAGCAATCGGCGTCGCCCATGGACACCTGGAACGCCAGAGGCGTTACAAGTGCAGCACCGGCTTTTTGGGGATTAGGAGTTTGAGGATCGTTGTGGGATTCAGGGATTGGGGAGATTGGGGAAGGGGAAGGTAATTGGGCCTCCGGTAACCTCACTCACACAACGAAACACAACGCAAGCGTTGCTTCACGTCGGTTTTCTGTGAGGCCGTGCCGAAGCAGGGCGCTCCCACACTTAGAATGTATTAGTATGTTTGTTTATTTACAGAATACTGCCGCGGAATAAAGAAGAGAAGCCTAAAGAGAAGTTGTTTATTCCATGCAAAGGCTGTGATAAAGTATTTCATTCGAAGAAGAGTTATAGAGCTCACGTGTAAGTAATTATAGCATTTATAAAAACGCCTTTTTAAGGGAGGAAAATCATCGAATGACTGCTCCCGCCTGGGTGAGGCGCGAGGGAGTGTCAGACTCTTACTGACTAAAAACCACCCCGTTCCTTCTCCTGCACTTCGAGCCGGAGCCCTGGTAACCCGTTAGGTTCTCCGCGACATTAAAGGTCTCATTTTGCCTAGTCTGATTGTATCTTCCTTTTGCAGAGTAATAGTAGTAGTATAGAGCTTAGATTTTCGGGTTTGCCGGTAAACGAGCTGAAGGATTACCTGATGGTAAGCAATCGGCGTCACCCATGGACACACGGAACACCAGAGGCGTAGTGTGCTACCGGCCTTTTGGGGATTACGAATTGAGGTTAGGAATTGGCACAACGAACCATGGTCTGCCATTCAAGCAGAAGTTATCTGAGCCGTAGCGAAGCTGGGTGTATATTACCCACTATCCTTAAAAAAAAACTTAAAATCTATATATATGAAAGAAAGTCGTGTTATTTACACCACTTATAACTCAAGAATGGCAGAATAGATTTGGCTGAAAATTGGAGGTAGCTTAGAGCCAGCACCGACATAGGATACTTTTTAACCAATTTTTTTTTTTTTTTACCGAAAATCACGACCGGGGACGGGAAAAAATGGGATTACGTATACGAAGTCGCGGGCAGAAGCTAGTTCCTTATAAATATCGTTCATTATTTCAGAGTAATCCACAACGGTCTATCCTACCCTTGTCCAATATGCGGCAAACTGTTCCAATGGAAGCGAAATCTCTACAGACACACTCGCAACCATAGAGAGAGGGCAGCCGGCGCTGTACATGAATGTAGAGACTGTGGCAAGACATTCGCTAGTAGAGATTGCTACAATAATCATATGCGACTGAGCAAACGACATGTTGCTGATGAAGCGCTCCAGTAAGTATATCTAACCAAAAATGTCCACTACTATCTAAAACTGTCATCAACTCTCCAAAACTCACAACTTTCGAGAATTGTCCACAACCCTCGAAAACTATCCACGACTCTCCAAAACTATCCACGACTCTCCAAAACTATCCACGACTCTCCAAAACTATCCACGACTCTCCAAAACAGCCCACAACTGTCCAAAACAGCCCACAACTGTCCAAAACAGCCCACAACTGTCCAAAACTGCCCACAACTGTCCATAACTCTCAAAATTTGTCCAGAACTGTCCACAACTCTTCAGAACTGTCTACAGCTCTCGAGAATTATCCACGACTCTCCAATACTGTCCAAAACTCTCAAAATCTGTCCAAAACTGCCCATAACTGTCCGAAACTGTCCAAACCTATCTACGGCTCTCCAAAACTTTCCACAACTCAACAAAAATGTCCACAACTCTCGAGAACTGCCCACGACTCTCCAAAACTATAAATATGTCCAGATCTGTCCACAACTCTCCAGAACTGTCCACAACTCAACAAAACTGTCAACAACTCTCGAGAACGGTCCACGACTCTCCAAAACTGCCCACAACTTTCTAAAACTCACAAAATCTGTCCAGAACTGTCCAAAACTTTTAAAATACTGTCCAGAACTGTCCAAAACTATCAACAACTTTCAAAAACGGTCCGTAATTCTCCAAAACTGCCCACAACTGTCCACACCTATCCACAACTGTCCTCAACTCTCCAAAAGTGTCCACAACGGTCCAAAACAGTCCACAACTATCCACAACTCTCCAGAACTGTCCACAACTCAACAAAACTGTCCACAACTCTCGAGAACGGTCCACGACTCTCCAAAACTGCCCATAAGTTTCCAAAACTCTCAAAAAGTGCCCTACACTGTCCACAACTCTCCAAAACTGCCCTCAACTCTCCAAAACTGCCCTCAACTCTCTAAAACTGCCCACAACTGTCCACAACTATCCACAACTATCCACAACTCTCCAAAACTGTTCTCAACTCTACAGAACTGTCCACAACTCTAGAGAACTGTCCACGATTCTCTAAAACTGCCCACAACTGTCCAAAACTTTTAAAAATCTGTCTAAAACTATCCAAACAGTTCAGCTCTTAAAAACAGTCCACAACTGCATCGTGATACATGCTAAATTAACTAAAAATTACTAGTTACTCACGTAAATATACTGAGAAAAGCTCTACTAGTTTCAAGTCATAGAGGGACTCTTCCTCATGAGTAAGGAAGCTCCCCAGTGTCGCTCAGCGTACTGGCGGTATAGACGATGTAAATTGTGACATTTTTATTGCAGACACGCTTGCACATACTGCGATAAAAAGTTCCCGACGAAATGGTGTCTTACTGACCACGTGGACTGGGATCATCTTAAGCGCATCAAATATCAATGTAGCTCCTGTTTTAAAGTAAGTATCCTTACTTCATCATATACAACAGCAATGTAGACTCAATTGTCATAATTACTCACCCTCTGACACTCATACACTCATTTTTCACTTTATTCATACAGAGGACTTTTACTCACTATAGTTTACAATTTATTTTATTGTTAAGCATGTTATTTCTTTCGTTTAAATGTTTGTATACCCAGATTTAGTTTTTATAATTTACAAACTTGCTCCGAGGATTGAAGCGATGCGAGCTGAAGCACAGGCTTAAGACCTATTTCAGCAACAGATGCTAAAATTGTTTTCATGATACAAATATTATGTAAGTTATATGATAGACATTATGTAAAACATAATTGTGTAAACTCTTTCTTGATTCAATAAAATTTATTATTATTATTAATTTATTATTATTACTTACATCCTGTTTTTGCGCACGCATACATGACGCACAATATTAGGGCAATGGGTTACACTAGCATCAACTACCTATTATGAATTCGTATTGTTTTATTATAATTAAACTTTTATTTAGATTAGATACTAGATCAGGGAAGGCGAACCTTTACACATAGACGTGTCAATGGGGATGATGACAGGGTATGAAAATTAAAAATATAATTAGTCCGTAAGTTAGGTAATGAAAAAATATTAGACACGTATTTTTTTATTTTGTCGTATAATAAAACAATACTTAGATAAAACGAATCAAAATTTAGGAGTGGGGGCTAAAACCTCATTCCTTAGTATAAAATGTACTGAGAAGTGACGTCACGCGACATTTCAAATCAATATATCTTCGAAACTATTCGTTTCTGTGAGAAAATAAAAAATACGTGTCTAATGTTTTTAAATAATCTGTCAGACGGACATTAAAATAAAAATTAGTCGTCTACCCCTTACGGTTTTATGTGTGCCATCGACTGATTATTATATTATATGTTACATTTTGATTATAAGATATTTGACGATAAAATGTCAACTTTATTTCTAAAAATGTTAACTTTTTTTTATCAAATGTTGCTGTGCAAAACCTTATTCACTTTATGGTATGCAAATAAATGAATATAAATATGAATATTACTATTTATGAATGTCAATCAGTAGATAGCAATAAAGTATACAGTTGGGCTGGTTAGCTGTCTCCGCAGTCTGAGTACACCAGCAATATTCGAGACACCACAAGTACGTTGTAGGTTTCTGATCATTCATCAATTTTGTAGTCACTGTCGTCCCCAAAATGTTGTGTTCCGTGCCATCAACGGCACGCGTGCCAATGGTTCGCCATCCCTGTACTAGATAGTAGAAATGAAGTAAGTAGGGTGTTCCTTGTCTATGGTCCACAGATAATAATAATTATTAGATATTAAGTACCTATTATATGATTTCAGTAAAATAATAAGTCTGTGGACCATGGACAAGACTTCATTTTTAATTTTTTAGCTTTTATTTTATTTTATTTTTTAATTATGTTATGTGTGCTCTGCGCAGAAATAAATGGGTTTTCTTTCTTCTTCTTTCTTACTTCCTTATCCTTACTTCAATACATAGTATAAAACAAAGTCGCTTTCGCTGTATGTCCGTATATATGCTTAGATCTTTAAAACTACGCAACGGATTTTGATGCGGTTTTTTTTAATAGATAGAGTGATTCTTAAGGAAGGTTTGTATGTATATACATATTGAACCCGTGCGAAGCCGGGGCGGGTCGCTAGTATATTATAAATCTGAAAGTGAGTTTGTTTGTTTGTTCCACTTTAACGCCGTAACTACTAAACCTTTGAAATTTTGCAGACGTAAAGTTACAAGTCCGGATTAAATAATAGGGTACTTTTTATCCCGGAAAAATTTGATATTCTCGAGGGAAAACAAAAGTATTGGTATAGATGGCGCTGTGTGTATTGGTATATGTCACTTAGGCTACTTTTTATCCTTTTGTGACGCGAGCGAAGCCGCGGGTAAAAGCAAGTTTTATATAAAGTAGAATAACATAGAATAATTGTGGTTGCCACCTCTACTCTTCCCCTGGGTGTCGTATACCCACCAACAGTACAAAGAGAGTAACTCTTAATTCTTAAGAGAAGCCAGCAGCCAGATAACAGCCTGAACCTTTTAAACTGCAATCTCCAACCCGTTTGCCAAGTGTGAAGGAACTACCGGTTTGAATTTGAAATTTCTTTTTATATTGGACAATCCATTTGTCGATAAAGCCTATGGGCGATTTTTCAAAGGTAAAATCATTTGTTTTAATCAGACCTGAGGGCTTACTCTTGAATCCAATTCCGATCGATTGACATTCGTATTGTGAAATTTCGTACTCTTAAGTTGCAACACTAGCGCCCATTGCATCCGTATTGCGCGGATATTGAATGAACTAAATGGTATTGAGTTTGTCTTTATATTCCGTACTCTGAATGCTATTGTAACAGCTACGATTGTGGTTGTATAGTGTTGACATTGTATGATTATTGAGATTTAAATTGCATTGACATTAAGATTGGTTTCAAAAGTAAGCCTTGTGTGGCACTTATGACAAAAATTAAAAGTAAAGCTCAACAGCTCATTTCAAGGTCTAGATTCCTGACAGTCTTGTTTACAGAGAGAGTAGAAATCAAAATGTATGGGGATGACACTGACAAGTGTCAAAATTTACGTCAATTCCATATAATTTGGTTTTCTATTCTACTTGTAGACAAGCGGTAAATGGCATTTGGCTACAACTGCTGGCGTTGGAGATCTCGCGACGATCTCCGGCCACCGTAAGTGCGGGTCTGCGGTCGGCGAGCGTAGGTGGCTCGTCGCTCGACCAGAACCAGACCCGAGCGTACGGCGGCAAGCGTTCCGCGCGCGCCTCAAAGAGCCATCAGACCACCACGAATGGGGCCCAATGGGGCTGATGCCGATACGGAGCCGCGAAAGGCGGAGCGGGTTGCCGGGGCTCCGGCTCGAAGTGCAGGAGTAGGAACGGGGTGGTTTTATAGTCTGTAAGAGTCCGATACTCTCTCTCGCCTCATCCGGCGGCCTCAAAAAGTCATTGAATGATTTTTGGGACACTCAAAAAAAAAAGTTTCCTATGGGGAAGAACGAGTAAGAAACTCCATTGTAATTCCATTCTATTAAACATCACGCTACGATAAATAGGGTAGACGACTAATTGTTATTTTTAATGTCCGTCTGGTAAATTATTTAAAATCATTAGACACGTATTTTTATTTTCTTACAGAAACGAATACTTTCGACGATATATTGATTTGAAATGTCGCGTGACGTCACTTCTATGTACATTTTATACGTAGAAATGACGTTTTAGCCCCCACTCCTAAACTTTGATTCGTTATATCTAAGTATCATTTTATTATACGACATTAAAAAACCGACTTCAAAAAACCAAAAACCAAAAACTAATAACAAACAAAAAGTCAAATCTAAAAAGCAAAAAATAACTATTATTAGTACTGATAGGTTACCCCCCCACTGATAGGTAAGAAGTCGGTGCCATAAGTTCAATACAAAATTATTCATTAAAACCTTAATAGGTACCTAATTCACAATTTTGTGGACATTAAGTTATATCATTATGATATGAGCTCATGGCACCGACTTCTAACCTATCAGTGGGGGGGTAACCTATCAGTACTAATAATAGTTATTTTTTGCTTTTTAGATTTGACTTTTTGTTTGTTATTAGTTTTTGGTTTTTGGTTTTTTGAAGTCGGTTTTTTAAACGCAGTTTTTATTTTATTATTTTATAATTTTCAGTGTAAAGCTACATATACCCGTTTTGTTACTTATAATATATATAGGTGCAAAGTCCTCATCAATACAAATTAATCAAGCCCAAACACAAGGTAGTTACTGTATACCGTTGAGGAGTTCCCTTACCAATTACACTTCTTTATCATCAGACCCTTAATGACAGCCCCACTGTATCTAGGTGTAAAGTCCTCATCAATACAAATTAATCAAGCCCAAACACAAGGTAGTTAATATAAACCGCTGAGGAGTTCCCTCGACTGTCTGTCGACTCCATCATCAGGTCGACTCCAAACCCATATGAAATTGTAGTGTTTAAAAATGGTAATTGAAAAACATAATAGACGCATTATTCCTCCATAGAATTTTCGAAAGTTCCCCTCGGTTTCCCTAGGATCTCATCATCAGATCCTGACTTCATGGAAATGGCGAACAAACAAAAAAAAAAAAAAAAAAAAAAAAAACAATCAGCCGAACATAGTACCTCCTCCTTTTTTTGAAGTCGGTAAAAATAAAAAATACTTGTCTAATATTTTTTCATTGCCTAACTGACGGACTAAATAGATTTTTAATTTTCATACCCTGTCATCATCCCCATTGTAGGCGAGTAGGGGAAGTAGCTAGTATTCTAATAAAAGTTTTAATATTTCAGCCCTTCAAAACTGCTAAAATATTGGTCGCTCATGTGAAGAATATTCATGAAGGCAAGAAGAAAGAAGTCGAGGGTGAACACCTGTGTGAAATATGCGGGAAATCTTACAGGGTTAGTATAACAAAGTTGTTCTTCAACATAACATCACGCGTTTTATCCTTGAATAGGTAGGCAGAGGTGCACATTACTATATTTAAATTTTTCTTTAATTTTGTATTTTTTTCGGGCGTGACTGCCGGGCAAGGGGTCTCGGGTTCGATTCCCGGGTCGGGCAAAGTATTACTGGGTTTTTTCAAAATTCTTAATAGTAGCACGGAGCCTGGAATTGTGCCCGGTATATGACAATAGACTCACCCCCTATTACATGGGACTCTTAATACATATAAATAGTGAAAAGTGAAAGTTACATTTTACAGTGGCATTAAGTGCCGCAATCTGCACCTCTGCCTACCCCTCCGGGGATAAAAGGCGTGATGTTATGTTATGTATTTTTTTGTATCTGTGTGCGTGCCTACTGTCGAATAAATGTTTTTTCTTTCTTTCTTATTATAAAAACACTAGTGGACCCGACTAACGTTGTCCTGTAATAATAGGTATAGATAAATAACCTAAACATCGACTGCAGCGCCATCTGCCGGGCTGATTTGTGAATCTAAACCATTCCCAGATCCCCTTGAACGCACACAAAAAATTTCATCAAAATCGGTCCAGTCGTTTGAGAGAAGTTCAGTGACATACACACTCACAGAAGAATCATTACTATCCTTACTATAATATTATAAATCGGAAAGTGAGTTTGTTTGTTTGTTCCACCTTCACGCCGTAACTACTCAACCGATTGCTTTGAATTTTTGCAGACGTAAAGTTAGAAGTCCGGATTAGATAATAGGGTACTTTTTAACCGGGAAAAATTGATATTCCCGAGGAAAAACAAAAGTATTGGTATAGATGGCGCTGTGTGTATTGGTACATGTCACATAGGCTACTTTTTATTCTTTTGTGACGCGAACGAAGCCGCTGGTAAAAGCTAGTTATATACATACATGCATACATAACATCACGCCTTTTATCCCCGAAGGGGTAGGCAGAGGTGCACATTATGCCACTGTACCTACAATGTAACACCCACTTTTCACTATTTGTTATGAGTCCCATGTAATAGGGGGTGAGCCTATTGCCATATACCGGGCACAATTCCAGACTCCGTGCTACTACTGAGAATTTTTAAAAACCCAGTAATACTTTGCCCGACCCGGGAATCGAACCCAAGACCCCTTGCCCGGCAGTCGCACTTGCGACCACTCGGCCAACGAGGCAAGTTATATATATAAAGATAGACGAAATATCTTTTGTATTTATATTTACAGACTGTTAAACGGCTCAAAGGCCACGTGTGGGCGATGCACACGAAGCGATCAAACAGCAAGGTATACAAGTGCAAGCTCTGTCCGGCTACATTCATGTGGCAGACCAGTATATACAAACACATGAAGATGATGCACGATAATAAGAAGGCTAAGGTACGGTTATTTATTTATTTATTTATTTAACACTTCATGTATTACTGTATACAATGGCGGACTTAATGCCGAATGGCATTCTCTACCAGCCAACCATAGGGTGATGCAGAGAAGTGTTACAGTAGGTTTTAAAAGAAGTTTGCATCTGTTGAAAAAAATAAAAAAACGAGGGTGATAAATGTCTATATATTAATGTCTAAAGATGTTAAATATCTATATATAGATATTTTATTATATTTATATTATATATATATATATAAATAAATATATAATGGGTTTATATATTTCATATAATTGTATATATAAAGTTTCTGAGGAGGGTGTTAATTGAGACTCGATTGTGTCAGTTTGTTCAGAAGATATTTTCTGACTTTAAACGTACGTTTGTATGGAGTTTTTAGCTCTCGACCGGAGTTATACCACGGCCGAGCAGAAAACCGACGTTAAACAACGCTTGCGTCGTGTGAGTTAGGTTACCGGAGGCCCAATTGCACGGTTGGTGCAGTGGCTGGGCAACCGGCTGCCGTGCAACGTGTCGCGGGCTCGATTCCCGCACGGAACAACACTTTGTGTGATCCACAAATTGTTGTTTCGGGTCTGGGTGTCATGTGTATGTGAACTTGTATGTTTGTAAACGCACCCACGACACAGGAGAAAATCCTAAAGTGGGGCAACGTTTTTTAAAAAACAAAAATCAAATAAAAATTACCCCCAGTATCCCCAATCCCGAATACTCCACAGTTCTCAAATTGTCAATAGGGTAGATGCCTAATTTTTATTTCAATGTCCGTCTGGTAGATTATTATAAATCATTAGACACGTATTTTTTATTTTATTACAGAAACGAATACTTTCGACGACATATTGATTTGAAATGTCGCGTGACGTCACTTCTATGTACATTTTATACGTAGAAATGACGTTTTAGCTCCCACTCCTAAACTTTGATTCGTTTTATCTGTAGTATTGTTTTCTTATACGACAAAATAAAAAATACGTGTCTAATATATTTTCATTACCTAACTTACGGACAAATTAGATTTTTAATTTTCATACCCTGTCATCATCCCAATTCCCAAAAGCCCGATAAAGCACTTGTAACGCCTCTGGTGTTCCAGGTGTCCATGGGCGACGCCGATTGCTTACCATCAGGTGATCCGTCTGCTTGTTTAAACCGTGAAATAAATTTCACGGTGTATACTTATCAACTACCATTAATTAATTGACTGACAAATCCCTGGTACAATATTCTATACCAAAATCATGACGTGTTCAGTATTACCTATTGTACTTATTTTACTAAATAAATCATAATAAATATTTGACATAAGCATTTATTGACATGACTTATGTAATTTCTCTAATAATTTCTTGTTTTATTATATAATTAACTGATTTGAACATTAATATTGTACCCAACGGCAAGTACCAATGTGACATTTCCGAGTTATATGTACTTTCTAAGATTATCTAGACACCACTGACAAACGGTGAAGGAAAACATCGTGAGGAAACATGGACTTATAATTTCTAATTATAAGTTTGAAATCGCCAACCCGCATTGAGCAAGCATGGTGATTAATGCTCTAACCTTCTCCGTGTGAGAAGAGGCTTTGCTCAGCAGTGGGCATTTATAGGCTGTTGATGATGATGATAATGATTATACCCAACTATTGTACGCCCAATGGGCAGGACACAGCTGAGCTCAACCAAATTATGATAACAACTGTATTATGTATCTACCTGTGATCTACAATGAATAAATGAATTTGAATTTAATTCTACATTATAAATGCAATCACTCATTCACCCTTTTCCTCCCCACAGACACAACGCACCGCCCCACCAGTGAAAAAGGAAGAGCCTTACCCAGGAATCGAACTAGCGAACCGAATGCAATATTTCCAACAAAATCTATCAGGCAATCTCAACATAGTACATATACAACCAATTGAAATAGGACAGAATATAGTTTTTAAATAAATATGTGACCGACTGACCCCCTATTACATGGGACTCATAACATAAATAGTGAAAAGTGGGTGTTACATTGTACAGTGGCATTAAGTGCCGTAATGTACAAAGTGTTTTAAAGCCGCGTCATTTTCTAGGAGGTAACTCGGCTATCGATTCTGAGTCCGAATCAATAAAAAAAATTGTAGATAAATATTTTTCATTTTTCTGTAAATTACGGAAATCCGTAAGTGCGAACTACACGCCGCCATCTTGTAACTAGCTTTATAACGCGGCTCAACACACACAAACTCAAACACGTAATTGATATTATTCCTAATTCCATAAAACTCCAATAAGAAACATTGCTGTCGCTTATTCTCAAATACTGTCGAACTTAAACGATTTATTATAGCCGTATTTTAACTACTGGCCCGAAATTTTCTCTTACATTGAACCTTTATGACTTCTGTGACATGCCCCCGAGAAATGACACGGCTTCAAAACTACATCTTGTATGTATATGTGCACCTCAGTCTACCCCTTCGAGGATAACAGGCGTGATGTTATGTGTCACCTATCTTAGCTTAGGAGGAGTTGGTGGAAATGGACTTATATTTTAACATCACGCTGCACTACCTTAGGTACTGATTAGTTTAATATCATATGCCATATTAAAGTTAGAATTAATTTAAATTATTTTTACGTATTTAAGTAATTCGCTTCTTCCGGCAGTTCCTCCTGCATTTCTAGATAACAAAGTAAAACATATGGTAGGCATATGTTTTATCAGACTATAATCTTACTACTATTATAAAATCGAAAGTTTGTGTTTTCGGTGGGGGGGGGGGGGGAGGGCATCATCACCTTGGGGCATTATTATACACTATTAAAATGTTGACTGCCATGTTTTCCTTCACCGTTTGTCAGTGGTGTCTAAATAACTCGGAGAAAGTCACATTGGTACTTGCCGTTGGTAGGTTTCGAGCCCGCACCCTCATGCATGAGAAGCGGGCATCTTAAACCTCCGGGCCACCACGACAAGACAGTCCTGTTAACAGGCAATTAACTACGATCATAATCAGATGGTGGCCCTATTATATCAGTGGTGGTCTAATGACTCTCTGAGTCCCGCGCGGAATGCTCTCGACACGAATGAGATCGTCTTTGGCTGAGTATGTGTGTATGATTGTTAATCAGACTCAGACTGCCTCGTTGGCCGAGTGGTCGCAAGTGCGACTGCCGGGCAAGGAGTCTCGGGTTCGATTCTCGGGATTCCTGATATTAAAAAAAAACTCAGTAGTAGCACGGAGTCTGGAATTGTGCCCGGTATTATGGCAATAGGCTCACCCCGTATTACATGGGACTCGTATAACATAAATAGTGAAAAGTAGGTGTTACTTCTGTGTGCACCTCTGCCTACCCCTTGGGGGATAAAAGGCGTGATGTTATGTTATGTTGTTTTGTTACCTAATCACGTCAAAATTGCTTATAAGGGATCGATATGAAATTTGTAACAGGAGTGTGTTATGCCATAACACATAGGATAGGTACTTTTTGTATTGGAAAATGTGTTTTTAAAATGAAATGTCGATCAAATGTTTAGTATTAAATGATGTGTATACTTATGTCTGTAAAATCAATATTTTATACGAACTGAACAATAAATGATGAAATATATAAATCATTTTTTTTTAATATCACGTTATAATCCCAATCTCCAAATCCCCAATCCGTTATTCCCTTATCCCCAAAAAGTCTAACGCACTAGTAACGTCTCTAGTGTTGTGGGTATCCATGGGCGGCGCTGATTGCAAGTCAAGTCAAAGCATTTATTTCAATTAAACCATAGTTTGGTACTTTTGAAACGTCAACAAATACAAAATAAATAATAGTCTGTCAGTCAGTCCGTCAGTGAAACTAGGTGAAGCTAGGTGCTCATTCCAAAAAGTAGATTCGAATGGAGAAGAGCGAGCAAGAAACTCCATTCGTTACTCGTTTTAAAAGAGTATGTTCTACAATGTCTCTGATACATATTCCAATACTGTACGCATATGTAAGAACAATGCTAAGACACGCTTGACGCATTAAACTAATAACTAAAAAAAATAAAAATCTTAATGTCCAACATGGTGCTCACATATGCATACTGACAATCCATAGAATTAGTGCTTCTATACAAGAAAAAGGAAACTCTTTGTTTCAATAAAGAAATGCTCGATGCCTTACCATCAGATGTATTATCTTGAATCTAATTCCGATCGATCGACATTGATATTGTGAAATTTCATACTCTTGAATTGTATTTAATCGTGGATATTGAATGAACTAAATGGTATTGAGTTTGTCTTTATATTCCGTACTCTGAAGGCTATTGTAACAGCTACGATTGTGGTTGTATAGTGTTGACATTGAATAATTATTGAGATTTTATTGGATTGAAATTGCATTGACTTAGAGATGGGTTTCAAGAGTAAGCACCCTGATCCGTCTGCTAGATTGCATAAAAATTTAAAGATTAGTTCGCCTCGCCCCCTATTACATGGAACTCGAACTGATCAGAGTCCGATTTTTCAGTCATTAATTAATTCTACAAACGGTAGAATAAAATTGACATTTGACAGTTTTTAGTATGTTTTTATAATAACTATCGTGATACATACTAAATTAAGTAAAATCGCGGGTTACTCACGTGAATATACTGAGAAAAGCTCTACTAGTTTCGAACCACAGAGGGCTGAGTGTGAGCTGCGCGACGTTGTCGCGACCGCGCACGGTACTCATGAGGAAGAACCCCTCTGTGGTTCGAAACTAGTAGAGCTTTTCTCAGTATATTCACGTGAGTAACCCGCGATTTTACTTAGTTTTAGTATAGAAGCAATGTCAAATATTCAAAGTTATTACTCAGTTAAAATTTATCTGGCTTTTTTTATATTTGATGGGCCGACGTTTGACCACTATCTCGCCTGGTGGTAAGCGATGATGCGGCCTACGATGGAGCACGTCGTCCCATAAGCAACCTATTCACTCGGGCCTTGAAGACACTGGCATTTGAGAAATCAGCCCTAAAAGTAAAAGGTAAAATACAATGGATAATGGGTTAACCTGTGCCAAAGGATGCTTATGTCAGTGATGGCAAATTATAAAACATTGGTCGCCACCTTTAGTCTTGTCGAGGGTATCTACACTAAGTGGCTATGTGACTACACGTTTGACAGAGCCCGTGTGAAAAAAAAAAACATTTTTTTAAGAGGGGAAAATCATCGAATGACTTCTCCCGCCCAGGTGAGGCGGAAGGGAGTGTCTGAATCTATTAGGCTCCATCCGTGGTGGTCTAATGGTTCTTTAAGGCGCGCGCGGAACGCGACGCGCCGTACGCACGAGTTTGGTTCTGGTCGGGCGGCGAGCCACCCTTGCTTGCCGCCCGACCCGCACTTGCGGTGACCGGAGATCGTCGCGCGATCTTTGAAGCCCTCATGCGCCCCGCCTCCTATTTGGCAAGCATAACTGCTTCGCAGAAAAAGGAGACGGCTTTCCAGTTCCTCTCGCTCCGCACCATGACCTGAACCAGAGCCGGACGCGAGAGGTCACCGTCGCCGACTACATCCCTGAGGACACGGCAATGCTCCCCCTACGCAGGGCACACCGCCACCGAACTTCTCTGTAACCTGTGGCTTTAGCCAAACGCCACTTTACCGCTTGTCTACAGAGACAGTAGAAAACTAAATATATGGGGATGACACTGACAAGTGTTAAAATTTACGTCAACCATACTAATACTAATATTATAAATCGGAAAGTGAGTTTGTTTGTTCCTTCCACTTTCACGCCGTAACTACTAAACCGATTGGTTTGAATTTTTGCAGACGTAAAGTTAGAAGTCCGGATTAAATAATAGAGTAAGTAGGTACCTACTTTTTATCCCAAAAAAATTTATATTCTCGAGGAAAAACAAAAGTATTGGTATACTAGATGGCGCTGTGTGTGTTGGTATATGTCACATAGGCTACTTTTTATCCTTTTATGACGCGAGCGAAGCCGCGGGTAAAAGCTAGTTCTATATAATTTGGTTTTCTATTCACAAGCGCTAAGTGGCATTTGGCTACAGCCGCAGGCACTTGCTAGTTAGCCTTATTGATAACGACTCTGTGTAGACGAGGTTCATAATCCACCAGTGGTCTGTCACGAGCACGACCTATTAATGTGATGTGAAATCCTGATTTTATCTTGTCTAGTAATAGATTAAAATAGTCTATAGTTTTATCAATCGGAGGTATTAGATTAAGATAGCTAGGTGCCGTGATAGTATCCGCTGTGTTGCTGGCAATGGTTGGATCAATTCAGTAGTAATTAAGGACTTTAACCTGACGACGGAAATGGCCTGATGATGATATAAAGGAGATAGCAAATGGTATGATTTCTAATTATAGGTAGGTATTACGCTATGGGCTTCTTAGACTTATGCGGGCGCTGGTATTTCGCACGCGTACGATATGCATATATTATACATATAAACCTTCCTTAAGAATCCCTCTATCTATTAAAAAAACCACATCAAAATCCGTTGCGTAGTTTTAAAGATCTAAGCATACATAGGGACAGACAGACGGCGATAGCGACTTTGTTTTGTACTGTGTAGTGATGATAACAGTCAGCCAGTTGAAAATCATAGTTTTTTCTTCTTCTCCTCTTATAATATCTTCTGATTCACTTCGTTGCGGGAACCAAGACAGTTACTCATGTCCCTGGGACGCGCCGGACTTTAGTGTTCCGCTGTGTTCCGGTGTTTTCATGGTTGATAGGTAGCAATCATATACCGATTTCTAATTACTACCTCGTTGGCCGAGTGGTCGCAATTGCCGGGTGCAATCGGTCGCAACTGGTGCGACTGCGCCGGGCAAGGAGTTTCGGGTTCGATTCCCGGTTCGTGCAAATTATTCTGAAATTATGCCCAGTATATGATAATAGGCTTAACACAATAGGGGATAACCCCTATTACACGGGACTCATAACATAAATAATGAAAAGTGGGTGTTACATTGTACAGTGGCATTAAGTGCCGTAATGTGCACTGCTTACCTCTTCTGGGATAAAAGGCGTGATGTTATATTATGCTCTAATTAATTATTTGTCTGTCTATTATATCCTACTAATATTAAATGCGAACGGTTCAGGTGTGGACCTACCTATGTATATTTATAGTTATAAATATATTTATAGTTATAAATATACATAGGTAGGTACACACCTCACGCATAAACGCCTGGAAGAATCTTTGATGTTGTTCGTCTACTTGCACCGGCACTATCCCCACCAACTACCCCGCTTCATTCGTCAATTCAAGGTCATGGAGCGGGGCTAGAGAGCGAATCTCATCAGGTGCAAGAAAACATTACCTCAGAGGTGGTCAGGCGTATGTGCCTAGACCGAATTTTCCAAAACTGAAATTATTTATTTAGGTACTGTTTTGATAATAACTATCGTGAGACATACTAACCTTTAAGTGTGAAAGAGCCTTCGGCACGAATGGGCCGGCTCGACCGGAGTTATACCACGGCCTCACAGAAAACCGACGTGAAGCAACGCTTGCGTTGTGTTTCGTCGTGTGAGTGAGGTTACCAGAGGCCCAATTACCCTCCCCTTCCCCAATCTCCCCAATTCCTGAATCCCCAACGATCCTCAAACTCCTAATCCCCAAAAGGCCGGTAACGCACTTGTAACACCTCTGGTGTTCCAGGTATCCATGGGCGATTGCTTACCATCAGGTGATCCGTCTGCTCGTTTACCGGCTTATCACATAAAAATAAAAATACGGGTTGGCAATTTCAAACTTTTATCTAATTAGAAATGGTTTCCTCACGATGTTTTCCTTCACCGTTTGTCAGTGGTGTCTAAATAATCTTAGAAAGTACATATAACCTGGAAAAGGTCATATTGGGACTTGCCGTTGGTAGGTTTCGAAGCTGCACTCCTATGCATGAGAAGCGGCCATCTTAAACCTCCGGGCCACCACGACATAGGTACGGTGGAAATTTTCCGCAGATGAAGTTACATAATGGTAATTATAATTAACGTTAAAGTAAGCATTTTAATTATATTATCACTAATCAATTTCTATTTACTAATAATTAAAAAACCGATTTGATTAAAAGGTCGCGTAATTTCACAGTGGAGCATTATCTGATTGTAAGTGCTATATATCACTGGGACACCATGGTAGCGCTACCTGTCGCGCCACCACCGTGGTGTTCGTAAGCTACCACACTAGATTCCATACAGTAAGGTCAGACTGGGAGAAAATACCTGCGGCATTAAGTCCACCTATTTTCAAGTCCATCGAGTGCATGAACTATCCTTACTAATATTATAAATCGGAAAGTGAGTTTGTTTGTTTGTTCCGACTTCACGCCGTAACTACTAAACCGATTGCATTAAATTTTTGCAGACGTAAAGTTAGTAGTCTGGATTAAATAATAGGTTACTTTTTATCCCGAAAAAATTGATATTCCCGAGGGAAAACGAAATTATTGGTATAGATGGCGATGTGTGTATTAGCATATGTCACATAGGCTTTTTATCTTTTTGTGATGCGTGTGAAGCTGCGGGTAGAAGCTAGTAACTAAATAAATAAAAATGAATTTCCGTTCCTGCCCGTCGAAGGCGTCGTTAAAACAATCGCCGCGGCGCCTAATATTTTGATCAGGCAAACCTTTGGGGTCATGGGCGCATAGAGTGGGGAATATAGGTGCCCACATAATGACCTTAAGCATGACGGCGGCATGTGTTCACGTGCCACGTGCACTGCATAGAGAGGATCTAGGAGAGACACATAGGTCTCCATAGGGAGATGCCGTAACAGGTGTTGCACTGTGGAAGCTCCGGTGTTGGTCTACTCTCTACTAAGAAGAACCGGTGCCTCCTTCAAATGCGGATGGTGGCCAACGGAGAGGTTTTAGTGAGGTAAAAATCCCACAGACCTTAGTCTTTTTCCACAAAAAGCTGACACGCATTTTGAAGTTTCCCCACGTCAACAAAAAAAAGACTTGACAACTAACGTCTGGCAACCTCGCGCTACTTCGCCCAACGTTGCTGAAGACACGTGTCGCAGAGTCCCCTACACTATCCTTGGCTTAACTCTTTCATCATCATCAACAGCTTATAAATGCCCACTGCTGAGCTCAGCCTCTTCTCACATAGAGAAGGTTAGAACATTAATCACCACGCTTGCTCAATGCGAGTTGGCGTTTTCAAACTTATAATTTAGAAATTATAATCCCAGGTTTCCTCACGATGTTTTCCTTCACCGTTTGTCAGTGGTGTCTAGATAATCTTAGAAAGTACATATAACTCGGAAAAGTCACATTGGTACTTGCCGTTGGTAGGTTTCGAGCCCGCACCCTCATGCATGAGAAGCGGTCTTAAACCTCCGGGCCACCACGACTCGCTTAACTATTTATAGAGCTTTATATATTTTGTTGGTAGCCGCAACTGGTCGCGTCGCCATGGTGTCGCGATTAAATATAGTCCTAATTTGAGGAACATTAAAAATATTATATCTACTTTCTTTTTTAGCTAAATATACTTAATTAATTAATTAGCTAACGATTATTCACGTGTGTATGTAGTACGTACGTAGTGAGCCCACCTCTTGCATTGGGTATCAAGTGACAAAAGTCTATAAGGTCACTAAGGGACTACACATTAGACAGAGACCGTGCAGCAGCGCTCTCTGATAAACCTGAACCTTTTATACTGCGATCTCAAACGTAGTTATATAAATTTCAGAGGAATTCCTATATATTTCCATTCCTAGGAAATGGCAACGTCTGTGCTTGGCGTACTCTTGGCTTTATTAGCTGTTTCTACAGGTATGGTACTTTGATAGCATAACATCATACATAACATCACGCCTTTTTATCTCTGAAGGGGGGCAGAGGTGCACATTACAGCATTTAATGCTACTGTACAATGTAACACCCACTTTTCACTATTTATGTTGTCCTATGTAATAGGGGGTGAGGTGCCATATACCGGGCACATTTCAGACTCTGTGCTACTACTAAAAAACCCAGTAGTACTTTGCCCGACACGGGAATCGAACCCGAAACCCCTTGCTCGCACTTGCGACCGCTCAGCCAACGAGGCAGTAGATTGTTCCGTTCAGGGTGCTTACTCGTGAAAAGAATCTCAATGTCAATTCAATTTCAATCCAATAAAATCTTAATAATTATTCAATTTCAACACCATACAACCACAATCGTAGCTGTTACAATAGCATTCAGAGTACGGAATATAAAGACAAACTCAATACTATTTAGTTCATTCAATATCCACGCAATACGGATGCAATGGGCGCTAGTGTTGAACTCAAGAGTACGAAATTTCACAATACCAATGTCGATCGATCGGCATTGGATTCAAGAGTAAGTAAGCCCCCAGGAGTTAAATCAGACCGCGTCACATGTTTACATTTTTACTATCATCAATTTGGGCATCCCCCACGCTCAGATATTTATCAATGTAATATCAATCTTTTACATCTTATCTTAAAGTACATTTTGATGATATATCTACATAATTATCGTTTATCATGTAAATATCAGAAATCGTAACATTAATACATTTTAATCCCCGAAAAGTTGGTAAACGATTTTCCTTATAATAACTTCCTTTTATTTACCTTATAACAACTCAAGTGTGGGAGAGCCATGCTTCGGCACGAATGGGCCGGCTCGACGGCAGTGATACCACGGCCTCACAGAAAACCGACGTGAAACAACGCTTGCGTTGTGTTTCGTCGTGTGAGTGAGGTTACCGGTGGCATAATTACCCCTCGCCCCTCTCCATCCCCAATTCCTGAATCCCCAACAATCTTAAAATTCCTAATCCCAAAAGGCTGGTAACGCACTTGTAACGCCTCTGGTGTTCCAGGTGTCCATGGGCGACGCCGATTGCTTACCATCAGGTGACGCGTCTGCTTGATAACCGGCGTATATAAAAAAAAATAATAATAATAGGGGCGTAATTGGGCCTCCGGTAACCTCACTCACACGACGAAACACAACACGAGCGTTGTTTCATTATGGATTTCTTTTCGGCCGTGGTTTCACTCCGGTTGAGCCGGCCCATTCGTGCCGAAGCATGGCTCTCCCACATTTAAAAGTTCCTTCATTCACCAGGCATGTTATGAGTCCCTTGTAATAGTGACCGAGTGGTCGCAAGTGCGATTGCCGTGCAAGTGGTCTGGCGCTTTATAATGTCAAGCGTTTGTCGTGTTAAGCGTTTATGATGTTTTATATGTCGCAGTAGTAGCACGGAGTCTGGAATTGTGCCCGGTATATGGCAATATACTCTATTACATGGGACTCATAACATAAATAGTGAAAAGTGGATGTTACATTATACAGTGGCATAAACTGCCGTAATGTGCACCTCTGCCTACCCCTTTGGGGATAAAAGGCGTGATGTTATGTTTTATATTATTATTATAGACTTTTTATCCTACGGGAACGCGGGCAAAACCGCTAGCGGAAGCTGCTAGTATTACAATATTTTCTTCTATAAACAACAAGTAAGGTCTCATGGTCTCCTCTTGCAGCTTGGCCCGAAGACTATGGGCTAATTATACTGGACTCTGGTCCTCGCTTCCAGTATATGTCAAGCCCTCAAGGTCTCGAAGTAGTGGACCTTGCCTGGAGGCCGAGCGATCTATTGAATAAGATATTATTCAACCCTGAAACTGATGTCAATATCCACCTTTATACCAGGTACCTTTTTTATTGTTTGCCTATTTTAAAAACGTTGCCCCACACTAGGATCGTCTCCTGTGTCATGGGTGCGTTTACAAACATACAATTTCTCAGACCCAAAATAACAATTTAACATAACATATCATAACATAACGCCTTTTATCCCCGAAGGGGTAGACAGAGGTGTACACAGAAGTAGCATCGACTTTTCACTATTTATGTTATGAGTCCCATGTAATAGGGGGTGAGCCTATTGCCATATACCGGACACATTTCCAGACTCCGTGCAACTACTGAGATTTTTTGAAAAAAACCCAGTAATATGTTACCCGTCCCGAGACCCCTTGCCCGGCAGTCGCTCTTGCGACCACTCGGCCAACGAGGCAGTCAACACATAAAGAGTTGAAGTTAAGACTCAAACTCTTTATTTGCATGTTAAGGTAATACATACAGGTCTTATGAAATAACAGGCACAGCTTAACGGCCTTTTTCAGGCGTTGCAAATTTTAGTGCTGTCAGTAGCTTATCATAATAATGTTCCGTGCGGTCATCGAAACCGCGACACGTTCCAAGGCAGCTAGTTGTGATTCGGAGTCGCGGAGAACCTAACGGGTAACCGGGGCTCCGGCTCGACGTGCAGGAGAAGGAACGGGGTGGTTTTTAGTCAGTAAGAGTCTGACACTCCCTCCCACCTCACCCAGGTGGGAGCAGTCATTCGATGATTTTCCCCCCTTAAAAAAAGGGGGGACCCAATAGGGCTGATGCCGATACGGAGCCGCGCAGAACGTAAAACTCGAGAACGGACACTCGAAATGCAAGAGTAGGAACCGGGTGGTTTTTAGTCAGTAAGAGTCTGACACTCTCTCGTCTCACCGAGGCGGGAGATCCGATGCGATGATTTTCCCCCCTTAAACTGTCAAACACCGCGAGGACACCAGTGACCGCAACCTATTGTTCTTTAATTGTGTCTATAATGACGGTACTCATAGGGTTAAACTGTCAAACACCGCGAGGACACCGGTGACCGCAACCTATTGTTCTTTAATTGTGTCTATAATGACGGTACTCAAAGGGTTAAAGAAAGTGTATAATATAGAACAACGTAAGAGCTTAATTATTATATTTTCGGCTTACTCACGTAACTGTTTGACAAGGATCTCGACTATGGCGTCGCGGGTCTCGGAATGCTGCTCATGAATATGAGCCTCTAGCATGGCTTGAAACTAGTCGAGTTCCTCGTCAAACTATTACGTGAGTAAGCCGAAAACATAATAATTAATTTAGTATATCCCACGAAAGTTGTAATCCTTACTAATATCTATATATATAAAAGAAAGTCGTGTTAGTTACACCACTTATAACTCAAGAACAGCAGAATAGATTTGGCTGAAAATTGGTAGGGAGGTAGCTTAGAGCCAGGAAACCGACATAGGATACTTTTTAACCAACATTTTTTTTTTACTTTTTTCCGAAAATCACGAACAGGGACGGGAAACAATGGTATGGTACGCGTACAAAGTCGCGGGCAGAAGCTAGTAATATTATAAATAGGAACGTGAGTTTGTTTGTTTGTTCTACTTTCACGCCGTAACTATTAAACCGATTGCTTTGAATTTCTGCAGACGTAAAGTTAAAAGTCCAGATTAAATAATAGGGTACTTTTTATCCCGGAAAAATTGATATTCCCGAGGGAAAACAAAAGTATTGGTATATGTAGATGGCGCTGTGTGTATTTGTATATGTTACATAGGCTAGACTGCCTCATTGGCCGAGCGGTCGCAAGTGCGACTGCCGGGCAAGGGGTCTCGGGTTCGATTCCCGGATCGGGCAAAGTATTACTGTGGTTTTTTAAAAATCTCAGTAGTAGCACGGAGTCTGGAAATGTGCCCGATATATGGCAATAGGCTCACCCCCTATTACATGGGACTCATAACATAAATAGTGAAAAGTGGGTGTTACTTCTATGTGCACCTCTGCCTACCCCTTCGAGGATAAAAGGCGTGATGTTATGTTATGTTATAGGCTACTTTTTAACCTTTTGTGGCGCGAGCGAAGCCGCGGGTAAAAAAGCTAGCATAAAATAAACGGAACAGCTTTTATACATTGATAATTTTGTTCCACAGGAAAAACCCCAAAGTGCCCCAGCTATTAATTCTAGGGGCAAATAATATCTTATCTTCATCCAACTATGATCCTGCTAAGAAGACTGTAGTCATAGCCCATGGGTGGAAGAATACTCCTGATGATGATTTTAATGTTCTTTTAGTTGCTGGTAACATACTTGGTTTGATAAAATATAGAAATAGGTTTAGTGTGGGAAAGCCATGCTTCGGCACGAATGGGCCGGCTCAACCGGAGTGACACCACGGCCTCATACAAAATCAACGTGAAACAATGCTTGCGTGGCGTTTCCGAATCCCCAACAATCCTCAAATTAAGTAAAATCGTGGGTTACTCACGTAAATGTACTGAGAAAAGCTCTACTAGTTTCGAACCACAGAGGGGTTCTTCCTCATGAGCAGCGTGCGCGGTCGCGGCGACGGCGCGCAGCCAGTGAGTATATTCACGTGAGTAACCCGCGTTTTTACTTAATTTAGTATGTCTCACGATTTATTATAATCCTCAAATTTCTTATCCCTAAAAGGACGGCCAGCACTTTTTTTTTAATGAGACAAGCTCGCCACATTCTCCAAAAACCGCTGCAACTCCTGTAAGCCAGGATTTACAGTAGATACAACCATGAAAACACCGGAACACTGAAGTCCGGCGCGTCACAGGTACATAAATAACTGTCTTGGTTCCCGCAACGAAGTGAATCAGAAAATATTATAAGAGGAGAAGGAAAACGGCCAGCACTTGTAACGCTTCTGATGTTGTGTGTGCTTACCATCAGGTGATCGGTCTGCCCGTTTACCCAAAAAAAGATGCAAAAGTTTAGATTATTTGATAAAATCACTTCTATCTTCATTTCTAGCATATCTGCAAGCTGAGGATATAAACATGATCAGTGTGGATTGGAGCACAGGAGCCCGCGCCTCATACGATATCGCCATATTTAATAACATCAGGACAGGTGAGGCCATCGTCTTCATCACAGTCTGGTGCGCTTACGGTGGCCGGAGATCGTATCAACAAGGCATACGGTGCACCTAATGTTGATAACGACGAGGAAAAGCATTAGAAATTGTTGTCCTCTTAAATTTCTTAGTAATCTAATGATTACGTTGATTAAAACAACAGATTAGCAAATCAAATATACCGAATGTTAATTTTTCTTTTGGTAGGTACTATTTTGTAGATAATGCTTTGAAAACAACAAATTTCAATGTTTTAATTTTCTATGCATTTGTTAAGGACGTTGAAAAAAAGGCGGACATAATACATACATAACATCACGCCTTTTTATCCTCGAAGGGGTAGGTGTACATTACGGCACTTAATGCCACTTTACAGTGTACAGTGGGTGTTACATTGGACAGTGGCATTAAGAGTTGTAATGTGCACCTCTGCCTACCTCTTCGGATAAAAGGCGTGATGTTATGTGTTATGTTTTATAGCCTTAAACGTCACGTTACGTCCAATAGATACCAAGCAAAGCAGCTGAAACCGCGGAAGAAAGCTAATGTACCAAATAGTATGATTAAAACAATCCTTACTAATATTGTAAATCGGAAAGTGAGTTTGTTTGTTTGTTGCGCTTTCACGCCGTAACTACTTAACCGATTGCTTTGAAATTTCGCAGACGTAAAGTTAGAAGTCCTGATTAAATAATAGGGTACTTTTTTCCCGGAAAAACTTGATATTCCCGAGGGAAAACAAAATAATTGGTATAGATGGCGCTATGTGTATTGGTATATGTCACATAGGCTACTTTTTATCCTTGTGACGCGAGCGAAGCTGCGGGTAAAAGCTAGTTTTTTATATTTCTCAATTCCAGGAAAATATGTTGCGAAATTCATCACCTGGTTGAACTCGGTAACTGGAGCGTCCCTGGACAACTACCACCTCATCGGGCACAGTTTGGGTGGACAGCAAGTTGGAATCATTGGACGGTACGTGGGCGGAGAGGTCGCTTACATTACTGGTAAGTGAATTTACATACATACATAACCTAACTCCTGTCTGCCATGGGGGTAGGCAAAGTCTATAGAACGCCAATAGGGTAGTTTTCTAAATTTTATTTTAATATCCGTCAAGTAGATTTTTTTTTAATGCATAAGCCGGTAAACGAGCAGACGGATCACCTGATGGTAAGCAATCGGCGTCGCCCATGGACACCTGGGATATCAGAGGCGTTACAAGTGCGTTATCGGCCTTTTGGGGATTAGGAGTTTGAGGATTGTTGGAGATTCTGGGATTGGGGAGATTGGGGAAGGGGAGGGTAATTGGGCCTCCAGTAACCTCACTCACACGACGAAACACAACGCAAGCGTTGCTTCACGTTGGTTTTTTGTGAGGCCGTGGTATCACTCCGGTCGAGCCGGCCCATTCGTGCCGAAGCATGCCTCTCCCACATTTTAAAACATTAGACCCGTATTTTTTTTTTCTCACAAAATCAAATACTTTCGACTATATATTGAATTGAACTAGCTGTTACCCGCGACTTCGTCCGCGTGAAATAACGACTTCTGTATAAATTGGGTTTTTTAAATTAGTCTTTGTCAAGGTATATTCTACGGCTGTACAACTGGAACAAATATCATCACAATCGATTCAGTACCTAGGTTATATTTATTGAGAAATGAATTTATTTTCGTGGTTTCTAAAATAAACAATCCCATAGAGGTTTTACCCGTACAGTGCCCGTCTCGTGAGGTTTCACTATTCTATGTTTGCAAATCAATGTTGTATCGCATTTCAATCAAATAGATATAGTGATTTTAACAGCACAGTTCCCGGTTTCGTGGGTTTTTCGGGTTAAAAACTTTTAGATGTCCTTTCCCGGGTCTCAAACTATTGCTGTACCGAATTTTACCAAATAGGTTCAATGGTTTAAAAGGTAAGAGCCCCTCTTTATTTCAACGTCCTTGGTCCTGGTTTTTTAGCGCATAGTTTCCGTCATTTTGGGATTTCCTCTCTCCTATAATGTGACCTGATATGTACCGGTGTGACGTGCGTTACTATCGCAAACATTTAAATGAAAAAATAGGTATTCTCATATTAGGTTAGTTACATATGATACATGTACTTTAATGTTGATATTAATGTCCTCTATAAGACTTAATACATCCCTTGGCTCTATTGTCCATAATTTCCACAGCGTAATCATTACCAATAATATAAGGAGTTTTTTTGGTAGTTTTTCACACATCGGGTTGTGTTTTTGTCTAAAGGAGATTTTTTTGAGGTCGGAAAATCATCCAATCACTCCTCCCGCCTTGCGTTAGGTGAGAGGGAGTCACAGATTCTTACTGACTAAAATCCACTCCGTTCCTACTCCTGCTCGTCGAGCCGGAGCCCCGTCAACTCGTTAGGCCTCCCGCGGCACCATATCGAGCATCAGCCCTACTGGGCTCCATCTATGATGGTGTCATGGCTCTGTAAGGCGCGCGCCGTATGCACGGGACTGGTTCTGGTCGGGTGGCGAGCTACCCTTGCTCTTCGTCTACAGACCCGCACTTACGGTGGCCGGTGGCCGGCCGATCTCCGACGCCCAGTGTTCTCCGGGCGGTCCTTGCATTGATGGCCTCAGTGTTTCCCGCGACGGCTGGGGCGTGAGGAAGTTCATTTACTTTCCGCTGCAATGACGGCGAGCCCAGCCCTCGGTTACCTAAAGGAGTGTTTCGCTGTGTAAGTAAGGTTACCGGAGGCCCAATTACCCCTCCCCCAGCCCCCCCAATCCCTGACAATCCTCAAATTACCAATTCCCAAAAGACCGGTAACGCACTTCTAGCACTTCTGGTGTTACAGGTGTCCATGGGCGGCGCAGATTGCTTACCATCAGGTGATCCGTCTGCTCGTTTACCGGCTTATGCCATAAACAATCAGCAAACTATCATAGTGAATTTGGCCTTGACGGTCTAAAATGAAAAGGACTAATATTATTTTTTAGCTATGTGCATTTAGCTAGTTTTTTTGATATACATATAAAAAATACGAATTCAAGTAAACTGAAAATATTTTATTCGTGGTTTTATCTCCTTAGACTGCTGTCAACCTCTTTGCATACCTTAATATTAATACCATAGTATAAAAAAAATCTATGACACATTGACTTTGTAAACTCACTTGTCACACAAATGTCAGATGACTTAAGAAATGTATACTAATAATATAAATTTGTATGTGCTTGTTTGTTTGTTTGTCCGTATTTCACGACAGAACGGAGTAGGAAGGTTTTGATTTGAGATAGTTGAAAAGATGGAGAGTATCATAGGCTACTTTTTGTCTTTTTCTACCCCCTTCCACTTCCGTGAAACAGAGGTGAAAGTTTGTATGGGGTATTTTGCAATTTTCAATGTGGAAAGCTAACAATTGGTATGCGGGTTATTTGTGACCAGCATAGAATCGTGCATCATTTCATTTTTTTATTGTAAATCCTTTCCTCACCCCATTAAAAGAACGCGAGAGAAGCCGCAGACAGAGGCTAGTCTATGAATAAATTGTATTCAGTCAATTGAATTCGTATTTTGTCTTTAAAATCCCTGATCCCTGATGCAGCTGAATACTAATATTATTCCTTGAAAACCCACAGAACTTCATTTTTATACGTTGATGCCAAAATATATTATGAAAGTAGGACACCATAACAATTACAAATCATTAGATTGTTACCTGTCAGATATCCGTTTTCAGGTTTTCAGATAAATCGTAATAATTATTCTTAAAAATCGACATAGTGAGTCGAAACGCTAGAACAAATGTTTTATTATTTTTATCAAGTGCTTAAATATAAAGTTTCATGGTTTTATCTTTAAAAATTATGAAATCCCATACAACTTCCCCCCCCCCCTTTTAACCCCTTACAACCCCTTTTTCGCGATAAAAAGTAGCCTATGTTTTATCTCGGGGTATAGAATATCTGTATACCAAATTTCATTCAAATCCGTTCAGTAGTTTTGGCGTGAAAGAGTAGCAGACAGACAGAGTTACTTTCGCATTTATAATATTAGTTAGGATTAGGATTGAATTTTGAAATGTCGCGTGACGTCACAGCGTGCTACAAAATGTATCACGTTATGACGTAACTACCTCCTACTCCTAAACTTAACGCCATTTTATTTAAGTATTGTAACGAGAAAATATAAAAATACGTGTCTAATATTTTTTCATTATCTAACTGACGGACTAATTAGATTTTGAATTTTCTAACCCTAGAAACTACCCTATTGCTACGATTCCTACATACCTCTTTCGCTTCATCAACAGTCATCAGTCTTTTCATGCATGCTCGTCGGTTAAGTGTACTTTTAATTCTGCACTTAATGCGACTGCACAATGTAACACCCACTTTTCACTATTTATGTTATGAGTCCCATGTAATAGGGGGTGAGCCTATTGCCATGTACCGGGCACAATTCCAGATATGGATGAGCCTATTGCCATATACCGGGCAAAATTCCAGACCGGGTTACCGGGGCTCCGGCTCGACGGGCAGGAGTAGGAACGGGGTGGTTTTTAGTCAGTAAGAGTCTGACACTCCCGCCTCACTGAGTCGGGAGCAGTCATTCGATGATTTTCCCCCCTTAAAAAAAAACCCTTCCCCTTCGGGGATAAAATGCGTGATGTTATTTTATGTTATGGATGTTAAAAAAGGAGTGGGATCATCATTAAACTTTCTTCTTCACAGCTCTGGATCCAGCGATGCCCGGCTGGACCCTGAACCCATTTGGCTTCAAGTCCACTGACGGGAAATACACGGAGGTGATACATACTAACGCTGGGCTTTCTGGTCGCGCTTCAGCTCTCGGTGACGTGGACTTTTATCCGAACCAGGGATTTAATATGCCAGGATGTAGTCTGAATCCAAGCTGCAATCATCACAGGTGAGGTGGAACTTATGATACCGAGTGAATAGGTTGCTTATGGGTCGACGTGCTCCATCGTAGGCCGCATCATCGCTTACCACCAGGCGAGATAGTGGTCAAACGTCACGCCCATCTAATATATAAAAAAACTCCCACAACCGCTGCAACTCCTGTGCACCAGGATCTACAGTAGATACAACCATGCAAACACCGGAACACTGAAGTCCAACGTCCCAGGGACATGAATAACTGTCTTGTATCCCGCAACGAAATAAATGAGAAGATAATAATAGAAGTGAAGAAAAAAAACACTGTCTCGTTGACAGAGTGGTCGCAAGTGCGACTGCCGGGCAAAGGGTCTCGGGTTCGATTCCCGGGTCGGGCAAAGTATTATTGGATTTTTAAATAAATCTCAGTAGTAACACGGAGTCTGGAAATGTATATGCCATAACATGGCACTCATAACATAAATAGTGAAAAGTGTGTTGTACATTGTACAGTGGCATTAAGTGCCGTAATGTGCACCTCTGCCTACCCCTTCGGGGACAAAAGGCGTTACCGGGTTACCGGGGCTCCGGCTCGACGTGCAGGAGAAGGAACGGGGTGGTTTTTAGTCAGTAAGAGTCTGACACTCCCTTCCGCCTCACCCAGGCGGGAGAATTCATTGGATGATATGCCCCCTCAAAAAAAAGAAAATAGGTAAACAAAGGACATTAGGGCATATTAGATAGTTCATGTTTGTATTGACCCTCTGTCCAGGTGTATCTTCTACATGGCTGAATCTCTGGTAAATGGCGGTTTCACTGGACATCGATGTGACTCCATGTTTAAACTCATTAAGAAAGACTGTGATGAATCAGACACTCTGCCGATGGGAGGACCCACTGCTAAGCCCGGGTAAGATATCAGAAATTAAGTGCGAGAGAGCCATGCTTCGGTACGAATGGGCCGGCTCGACCGGAGTGATACCACGGCCTCACAGAAAACCGACGTGAAGCAACGCTTGCGTTGTATTTCGTCGTGTGAGTGAGGTTACCGGAGGCCCAATTACCCTCCCCTTCCCCAATCTCCCTAATTCCTAAATCCCCAACGATCCTCAAACTCCTAATCCCCAAAAGGCCGGTAACGCACTTGTAACGCCTCTGGTGTTCCAAGTGTCCATGGGCGACGCCGATTGCTTACCATCAGGTGATCCGTCTGCTCGTTTACCGGCTTATGCCATTAAAAAAAACATTTATTTTATTTTGTGTTATAATGATGTGATGGATCGTAAGTTTAAGATGCCCGCTTCTCATGCACGAGAGTTCAAAACCTACTAACGACAAGTACCAATGTGAATTTTAACTAAAAATCGCGGGTTACGCACGTGAATATACTGAGAAAAGCTCTAATAGTTTCGAACCACAGAGGGGTTCTTCCTCATGAGCAGCGTGCGCGATCGCGGCGATGTCGCGCAGCTCACTGGCTAGCGCAGGCGCTCGCATCGGTGTTGCTACTTGCTCATTTAGCCCACCACGCCCTCTACCGGACACCATGAGCGTTTGCTTCCAACTCCGGCGGCGGTGTGCTGGACAATGTTAAAGCGCACGGTACGTTCACCAGCGGCGAGGGTAGTGGGTTCGATTCCGGGTTCGACACAAATCCCTCTATTATTAGTTTTATTACTTAAAAATTAGACTTTATATTAATACTAGCTGTTACCCGCGGCTTCGTCCGCGTGAAATAACGACTTCTGTATAAATTGGGTTTTTTAAATTAGTCTTTGTCAAGGTATATTCTACGGCTGTACAACTGGAACAAATATCATCACAATCGATTCAGTACCTAGGTTATATTTATTGAGAAATGAATTTATTTTCGTGGTTTCTAAAATAAACAATCCCATAGAGGTTTTACCCGTACAGTGCCCGTCTCATGAGGTTTCACTATTCTATGTTTGCAAATCAATGTTGTATCGCATTTTAATCAAATAGATATAGTGATTTTAACAGCACAGTTCCCGGTTTCGTGGGTTTTTCGGGTTAAAAACTTTTAGATGTCCTTTCCCGGGTCTCAAACTATCGCTGTACCGAATTTCACCAAATAGGTTCAATGGTTTAAAAGGTAAGAGCCCCTCTTTATTTCAACGTCCTTGGTCCTGGTTTTTTAGCGCATAGTTTCCGTCATTTTGGGATTTCCTCTCTCCTATAATGTGACCTGATATGTACCGGTGTGACGTGCGTTACTATCGCAAACATTTAAATGAAAAAATAGGTATTCTGATATTAGGTTAGTTACATATGATACATGTACTTTAATGTTGATATTAATGTCCTCTATAAGACTTAATACATCCCTTGGCTCTATTGTCCATAATTTCCACAGCGTAATCAATACCAATAATATAAGGAGTTTTTTTGGTAGTTTTTCACACATCGGGTTGTCATTACCTAAAGGAGATTTTTTTGAGGTCGGAAAATCATCCAATCACTTCTCCCGCCTTGGGTTAGGTGAGAGGGAGTGACAGATTCTTACTGACTAAAATCCACTCCGTTCCTACTCCTGCTCGTCGAGCCGGAGCCCCGTCAACTCGTTAGGCCTCCCGCGGCACCGTATCGAGCATCAGCCCTACTGGGCTCCATCTATGATGGTGTCATGGCTCTGTAAGGCGCGCGCCGTATGCACGGGACTGGTTCTGGTCGGGTGGCGAGCTACCCTTGCTCTTCGTCTACAGACCCGCACTTACGGTGGCCGGTGGCCGGCCGATCTCCGACGCCCAGAGTGTCTCCCGCGACGGCTGGGGCGTGAGGAAGTTCATTCCCTCACGCGCTCCGCTGGCAAGCATAACTGCTTCGCAGAAGGATGCGACTGCATCCCAATCCCCCTCGCTCCATGGCCTGAACCAGAGCCGAACGCGAGAGGTCACCGTTTCCTACATCCCTGAGAACACGGCGGTGCTCAGCCCACGCAAGGTACACCGCCACGGTATGCTCCACCGTGTTCTCCGGGCGGTCCTTGCATTGATGGCCTCTCTAAAGCCACTTTTAAAGAGGGGACCTAAAGGAGTGTTTCGCTGTGTAAGTGAGGTTACCGGAGGCCCAATTACCCCTCCCCCAGCCCCCCCAATCCCTGACAATCCTCAAATTACCAATTCCCAAAAGACCGGTAACGCACTTCTAGCACTTCTGGTGTTACAGGTGTCCATGGGCGGTGCAGATTGCTTACCATCAGGTGATCCGTCTGCTCGTTTACCGGCTTATGCCATAAACAAACAGCAAACTGTCATAGTGAATTTGGCCTTGACGGTCTAAAATGAAAAGGACTAATATTATTTTTTAGCTATGTGCATTTAGCTAGTTTTTTTGATATACATATAAAAAATACGAATTCAAATAAACTGAAAATATTTTATTCGTGGTTTTATCTCCTTAGACTGCTGTCAACCTCTTTGCTTTGCATACCTTAATATTAATACCATAGTATAAAAAAAATCTATGACACATTGACTTTGTAAACTCACTTGTCACACAAATGTCAGATGACTTAAGAAATGTATACTAATAATATAAATTTGTATGTGCTTGTTTGTTTGTTTGTCCGTATTTCACGACAGAACGGAGTCAGGAAGGTTTTTGATTTGAGATAGTTGAAAAGATGGAGAGTATCATAGGCTACTTTTTGTCTTTTTCTAACCCCCTTCCACTTCCGTGAAACAGAGGTGAAAGTTTGTATGGGGTATTTTGCAATTTTCAATGTGGAAAGCTAACAATTGATATGCGGGTTATTTGTGACCAGCATAGAATCGTGCATCATTTCATTTTTTTATTGTAAATCCTTCCCTCACCCCATTAAAAGAACGCGAGAGAAGCCGCAGACAGAGGCTAGTCTATGAATAAATTGTATTCAGTCAATTGAATTCGTATTTTGTCTTTAAAATCCCTGATCCCTAATGCAGCTGAATACTAATATTATTCCTTGAAAACTCACAGAACTTTATTTTTATACGTTGATGCCAAAATATATTATGGAAGTAGGACGCCATAACAATTACAAATCATCAGGTTGGTTACCATAGTAATGTTACCTGTCAGATATCCGTTTTCAGGTTTTCAGATAAATCGTAATAATTATTCTTAAAAATCGACATAGTGAGTCGAAATTTCAAAAACGCTAGAACAAATGTTTTATTATTTTTTATCAAGTGCTTAAATATAAAGTTTCATGGTTTTATCTTTAAAAAATATGAAATCCCATACAACTCCCCCCCCCTTTTAACCCCTTACAACCCCTTTTTCGCGATAAAAAGTAGCCTATGTTTTATCTCGGGGTCTAGAATATTTGTATACCAAATTTCATTCAAATCCGTTCAGTAGTTTTGGCGTGAAAGAGTAGCAGACAGACAGACAGACAGAGTTACTTTCGCATTTATAATATTAGTTAGGATTAGGATAGTAAATTAATGAGCAAGTAAATTAATATTGTGTATTTTATTTTTCATTCACAGAGCTACCGGGATATACTATTTGAAAACGAATGATGAATCTCCTTACTCACAAGGCTAATTCAAATATAGTAATTAAGATAAATACCTAGTTTTATTACCTGCTTTTTTACCTATGCACAGTGGAGTACAGATCCACCTTTTATGGTTTTAATACAAATTCCGGGCCTGCGGACGCCGAGCACGAGTAACTCGCTGTGAGACCAGAGTGCCAAGTACGAACTACTATCGCATTCGTAACGTAATAGTATCGAGCGCGTTCGGCGCTCTGATTGGCCGCCTATGAATCAACCAATCAGAACGGCGAATGCTCTCGATACTATTACGTTACGAATGCGATAGTAATTCGTGCTTGACACTCAGAACCGACCCGAGAGACCCGAGCGTACGGCGCGTCGCGTTGCGCGCGCGCCTCAAAGAGCAATCAGACCACCACAAATCGGGGCCCAATAGGGCTGATGCCGATACGGAGCCGCGGAGAACGTAACGGGTTGCCGGGGCTCCGACTCGAAGTGCAGGAGTAGGAACGGGGTGGTTTTTAGTCAGTAAGAGTCTGACACTCCCTCCCGCCTCACCCAGGCGGGAGCAGTTAAACTCAAACTCAAACTCAAAAGCATTTATTTCAATTAAACGTCAACAAATATGAAATAAATAATAGTCTGTCAGTCTGTCCGTCAGTGAAGCTAGGCGCTCGTTCCAAAATGTCGATTCGAGTGGAGAAGAACGAGCATGAAACTCCATTCGTTACTCTTTAAAAAAAGTCTGTTTTACACTGCTCTGATACATATTCCAATATTGTACATACATGTAAGAATAATGTACAGACATACAAATAACAGAACGTACTAAAATAAAAAAACAAAACCAAGAGAAAACAAATATATCTTAAGTCTGACATGGTCCTCACATAATATGTATACTGACAATCCATATAAAATAGTGCTTCTATACAAGGAAAAAAAACTCTTGTTTAAATAAAGAAAGAAATGCTCGATGCCACAAGAAAAATAAATTGCCTTCATCGGAATCAAAGTATTAAATTACCTATTATCGTAATCTGAACTAGGTACTGACATTTGAGTATTGTCCAGTGGAGCCGAACCAACACGCTGCCAAGCATTCCTATCCTCAAGATAATCAATCACTCTGTAGTAAGCTTGTTTACACAATTCGCGCTTGATATATGTATGTTTTAAATTTTACATTTGATTGTTATTCGATAATTTTCTCATTTCCCAATTCCCAAAAGGCCGGTAAAGCACTTGTAACGCCTTGGTGTTTCAGGTGTCCATAGGCGACGCCGATTGCTTATCATCAGGCGATCCATATGCTAGTTCACCGACTTATCCCATTGAATAATAAATTCAATAACTTACCACAGCAATGTCTTGATGAACATATCGGCCTTATTTCTTATACTATAACGTTTATATTCGTAAATCAAAAAGATAAACTACAAACAATTCGTTTATCTAAAAAATTTAATTCATCTATTTTAATCTTAATCCATTAGTCAAGGGCAGTTAAGATGCTTTGATTTTACTTGTACTGAGCGAGTGACAGACTGTACACAGCTGTAACTACTACCCGTAGCAAGCTGTGTCACATGTAGCGTGCTAGGGGAGTGTAGAGTAGTGCTGAGAAAGTGACAGACTGTAGACAGCTGTAACTACTGCGCGTAGCAAGGTGTGTGACATGTAGTGTGCTAGGGGAATGTAGGGGAGTGCTGAGAGAGTGACAGACTGTACACAGCTGTAGCTAATGCGCGTAGCAAGCTGTGTGAGATGTAGCGCGCTAGGGGAGTGTAGGGGAGTGCTGAGAGAGTGACAGACTATACACAGCTGTAACTACTGCGCGTAGCAAGCTGTGTGACATGTAGTACGCTAGGGGAGTGTAGGGAAGTGCTGAGAGCGTGACAGACTGTACACAGCTGTAGCTAATTGCGCGTAGCAAGCTGTGTGACATGTAGCGCACTAGGGGAGTGTAGGGGAGTGCTGAGAGAGTGACAGACTGTACACAGCTGTAACTAATGCGCGTAGCAAGTTGTGTGACATGTAGCGCGCTAGGGGAGTGTAGGGGAGTGCTGAGAGAGTGACAGACTGTACACAGCTGTAACTACTGCGCGTAGCAAGCAGCGTGAAAATACAACTATTTGTTTTGTTTATTGGAAGTCGGTTAAAAACGCGCGATCGTCTGGTTTCCCCGTGTAAAATATGAATGATTGATTACTTTGACACGTATGTAAACGTGATATGACGCGACAAGCTTAGTTATCAAACGATTCTATACAGGGTGCTTACATAATCGACGATCTTTGGACACCGTGAGCACGGGTCTGCGGATGGCGAGCTGATTTTTTTTATTACTTAGTTGTCTTATGGAAAATAGTTTGTTATTATGTCGGCTGTTTTTTAAATAACATAACAACATGCCTTTTATCCCCGATGGGGTGGGCAGAGGTATACATTATGCCACCGTACAATGTAACACCCACTTTTCACTATTTATGTTATAAGTCCCATGTAATAGGGGGTGAGTATATTGCCATATACCGGGCACAATTCCAGACTCCATGCTACTACTGAGAAATTTTTAAAACGCAGTAATATTTTGCCCGACCCGGGATTCGAACCCGAGACCCCTTGCCCGGCAGTTGCACTTGCAACCACTCGGCCAACGATAGACAGTCATTTTTTTTAAATTAAAATAAGTAATGCAATGCAGATGGTATAACAGATACTTGCTATGCCCTGCTTAAGTTATAGTGTATCTATGTGTTAAGAACAAAAAAAGAAATATAGCATCACCAGAGGCGTTACAAGTACCTTACCGGCCTTTTGGGATTAGGAGTTTGAGGATTATTGGGGATTCAGAGATTGGGGAAGGGAATTTTGGTAATTGTGCTTTCGGTAACCTCACACACATGACGAAAACACAACACAAGCGTTGTTTCACGTCGGTTTTGTAAGGTCGTGGTATCACTCCTCTCGATCCGGCTCATCCGTGCCGAAGCATGGCTCTCCCACACTTTCTCCCATATTTGGTGGTAGTATTCAACTCCGCAGTCACACAGCTTGTTAAATACAGCAACACCCTGTTAACGCAATCACCGAATTGTTTTTTTACAATATAATTATGTATTATAACTACTTATAAAGATTATAATCTATCATTAAGATCGCAAAGATTACATTTTGGCCTAATTTATACTACATTAGTTCGTGTTTTTCGCGATTTTCCTTCATTGTCAAATTGGACTTCCATGGAAATGGCGGCGGCTGTGCTTGGTGTATTCTTGGCTATATTAGCTGTTACTGCAGGTATGGAATATTAAACATCACCTTCACTATCATCATCATCAGCCCCGTACTGCCCCCCATGCCAATGACTACACAGCACACCAGAACTGTGGAATGATCTGTCGTCGGCGGTATTTCCGAACTGATACCACCTTCCAAAGCGTCAAGAAAAGAACGCATCTGTACCGCCTCTGGTGTTGCGAGTGTCCATGGGCGGCGCTGATCGTTTACCATCAGGTGATCCGCTGGCTAGTTTACCGGCTTATCCCATAAAAGAAACCTGTTGAACTTGTTGCAGTGTGATGTAGCGAATCTGGTGTCTGTATGGTGTCTAGTTTGGTAGCCTTACGGACACCAGCGAGGTACGGCTGATTGCACCGCCATGGCGTCCCGGTGAAACAGCTTTTATAGCCTACTAGCTTTCACCCGCGGCTTCGCTCACGTCACAAAAGGATAAAAAGTAGCCTATGTGACATATACCAATACACACAGCGCCATCTATACCAATACTTTTGTTTTCCCTCGGGAATATCATTTTTTCCAGGATAAAAAGTACCCTATTATTTAATCCAGACTTCTAACTTTACGTCTGCAAAAATTCAAAGCAATCGGTTTAGTGGTTACGGCGTGAAAGCGGAACAAACAAAGAAACAAACTCACTTTCCGATTTATAATATTAGTAAGGATAGTTTTTCTCGATAAATGGATTATTCAATACATTGCTTCCTATTGCATGAATAAAAGAAACATATCGCGAGGTTGGAACCAACCTGCATACAGAGACACTTGCAAACCTGTACCAGGTCGTCTTATATTAATTACTACGGTTTAACCATAGCAAATTTTTAACCGCGTTACTATGAAACAAAAGCTAATATGAATGCTTATAAGTGTTAGTCAGCTATTCACATCAACAGCCTATAAGTGTCCACCGCTGACCAAAAGCCTCACACGGAGAAGGTTTAAGCATTAGGTAATCGCTGTCGCGGAGAACCTAACGGGTAACCGGGGCTCCGGCCCGACGTGCAGGAGAAGGAACGGGGTGGTTTTTAGTCAGTAAGAGTCTGACACTCCCTTCCGCCGCACCCAGGCGGAAGCAGTCATTCGATGATTTTCCCCCCTTAAAAAAAAAAGCATTAATCGCTACGCTTGCTCAATGCGGAACCTACCAACGGCAACTACCAATGTGACATTTTCCGAGTTATATGTAGGTACATACTTTCTATGATTATTTAGACACCACTGACAAACGGTGAATGAAAACATCGTGAGGAAACCTGGGCTTATAATTTCTAATTATAAGTTTGTAATCGCCAACCCGCATTGAGCAAGCGTGGTGATTAATGCTCAAACCTTCTCCGTGTGAGAAGAGGCTTTGCTCAGCATTTATAGGCTGTTGATGACATGATTCATGTCCCTAAGACGTTGGACTTCAGTGTTCCGGTGTTTGCATGGTTGTATCTACTGTAGATCCTGGCTTACAGGAGTTGCAGAGGTTTTGGGAGGTTGTGGCGGGCTTGTCACATTAAAAAAAAACGCATTAGTTTCTTATTCTATGACCATTATTTATAAACAAATCTTTATTATATAGTACGAGTATGTATTGTGTAGAAGTGACGTAGCGAGTAGCGAGCTCCTCATACTATCTGCTTAACTTTATAATTCGTTTTATCTAAGTTTTATATCGACAAACAAGTCATATTAAATAAACCGACATCTTTTACTTATTTGAAGTTGATAAAATATGTATATGTCCATACAATACATACGTATAACCTCGCGCCTATCTCCCATTGTTGTAGGTAGAGATTATGGAACGCCTATAGGGTAGATGCCTAATTTTTATTTTAACCCCTCGAGCGTCCTTATGAGCACCCGGTGGATCATAAAAAAATATGCTCCATGCTGGTTTCTCTTTTATAAAATCTATTATTAATGTTTTGTTTTTATTTTGACTGTATTTGTTTTATTTCTATTGTAATGATCCTGGTTTTCGTGTGCCAATGGCCAAATAAATGCATTTTCTTTCTTTCTCCAAATGTCACGTGTGCACCCGTTGGATCATAAGGAACGCGGACGCTCGACGGGTTAATGTCCGTCTGGTAGATTATTTTAAATTATTAGACACGTATTTTTTATTTTCTTACAGAAACGAATACTTTCGACGATATATTGATTTGTAATGTCGCGTGACGTCACTTCTATGTACATTTTATATGTAGAAATGACCTTTTATCCACCACTCCTAAACTTTGATTCGTTTTATTTAAGTATTGTTGTCTTATACGACAAAATAAAAAATACGTGTCTAACATTTTTTCATTACCTAACTGACGGACTAATTACTTTTTAATTTTCATACCCTGTCATCATCCCAATTGCTACGATTCGTACAGCCTATTGTACCCCTGTGTATATCTGTAAAGATGTTTACTTTTATTATCTAACTGCCTCGTTGGCCGAGTGGTCGTCAGTGCGACTGCCGGGCAAGGGGTCTCGAGTTCGATTCCCGGGTCGGGCAAAATATTACTAGGTTTAAAAAAAATCTCAGTAGTAGCACGGAGTCTGGAATTGTGCCCGGTATATGGCAATAGGCTCACCCCCTATTATATGGGACTCATAACATAAATAGTGAAAAGTGGGTGTCATAAGCTAAGCTTTTTTCCATCGTTTCGGGGATTAAAAAGTATGACGTTTTGTTACTATTTACGATAGGTACTAGAGTGACAATGATAAACAATAAGTATGTACAATTTAGTATCGAATTAGATATAATATCTACTTTAATATAAAATGTAAACGATTGATATTAATCTATAGATATCTGACGATGGGGATGCCCAAACCGGAGACGAGATATTAAAACATCATAACATAACATCACGCCTTTTATCCACGAAGTGGTAGGCTGCACATTACGGCACTTAATGCCACTGTACAAAGTAACACCCTCTTTTCACTATTTTTGTTATGAGTCTAATGTAATAGGGGGTGCGCCTATTCCCATATTCCATTCCAGACTCCGTCTACTACTGAGATTTATTTTTAAAAACCCAGTAAAACTTTGCCTGACCCGGGAATCGAACCCAAGACCCGTTGCCCGGCAGTCGCATTTGCGACCACTCGACCAATGAGGCAGTCATAAGAAAATACATACAAGCTCTGTAAAGAGATTTTGACTTACCATCAATCATGCGGTGCGATAAGCTTGGACGGCAGCACTGAATGTTCCTGGTCACTCATTCACGCTGGTCGCGCCACCACACTGATTCTTTAGCGCTGTATCTGTGTCTCACTTACTCAGCCGCCGTCCGGTCGCCAGTGCTATCTCTTCAAGGTCTTGGTACTTTTTTTTTGAGGAGGGAAAATCATCCAATGACTTCTCCCGTCCGGGTGAGGCGGGAGGGAGCGTCAGACTCTTACTGACTAAAAACCACCCCGTTCCTACTCCTGCTCTTCGAGCCGGAGCCCCGGCAACCCGTTAAGTTTTCCGCGACTACGTATCGCCATCAGCCCTGTTAGGCCCCATCTGTGGAAGGTTTTGGTACTGCCACAGTGTGATGTGAGGACTCTGGACTCTTTTCAGAACTCCAGATGAAACATAACCCAAAAGTCTTCAACAGCAATTAAAATCTCGTGGTCTTTTCTTACAGCTTTGCCAGAAGACCATGAACTAATGAAGGTAGACCCTGGTCCTCGGTACCAGTATATGTCAAGCCCGGAAGGAACTGAGCTGGTGGACCTTGCGTGGAAGCCGAGCGATCTGTTAGAAGCTGCCAAGTTCAACGCTGAAACCCAGGTGTTCTTCCATCTTTTCACCAGGTATGTCAAATTTGTGGATTTTTTTTAATGGGTCAAGCCCGCCTCAACCTCCAAAAACCGCTGCAACTCCTGTTAGCCAGGATCTACAGGAGATACAACCATGAAAACACCGGAACACTGAAGTCCGGCCCGTCCCAGGGACATGAGTAACTATCTTGGTTCCCGCAACGAAGTGAATCAGAAGATATTATAAGATTAGAAGAAGAAAAAACTATGGTTTCCAGTTCCCTCGGTGAATTTCTGCAGGAGACAGAATGCATTAAGCCTAAAGGCACAAAGAAGAGACTGTACAAATTTGTTATTGCAAGCTACTTTTGCTCGGCTTCCGTCAATCGTAACGTGATGTTTTATAGCCTTCGTCGTGGCGTCCCGGAGGTTTAAGATGCCCGCTTCTCATGCATGAGGGTGCGGGCTCGAAACCTACCACCGGCAAGTACAGTCAGCACCATAAGTCGATGAACAGAATAAACATAACATAACACCTGTTCACCATAAAATGCCATAAGTTATAGTCGCAACTAGGAAATAAAATAGCCTGTACACCGGTAATTTACAAAAGTCGTTAAACACTACTATTTCAGAAGTATCTGTGCACTAGTATTCCTAAAGTCGCTGTACACCATCAATCCAAATGTCGCTGAACATTATTGTATAAAAATAAAAACTACGTTAAAAAACCGACTACAAAAAACCAAAAACTAATAACACACAAAAAGTCAAAACTAAAAAGCAAAAAATAACTATTATTAGCACTGATAGGTTAGAAGTCGGCACCATAAGTTCTATACAAAATTATTCATTAAAACCTTAATAGATACCTAATTTACAATTTTGTGGCCATTAAGTATATAATATTATTATCTATGATATGAGCTTAGTAGGCGCCGCGACCGCGCACGCTGCTCATGAGGAAGAACCCCTCTGTGGTTCGAAACTAGTAGAGCTTTTCTCAGTATATTCACGTGAGTAACCCGCGATTTTTAGCTAATTTAGTATGTGTCACGATCGTTATTATATTTCTACATATTTATTATATTATTAGAAAACTTAAAAACTGTCATAGAGTTCACCTTACTCTTTGATATTAGAAACATATTGGCTTTAAACCACATTGGATTTTAGAAACTTAGGAGGCAGGAAAAATAAAGAGTACCACCATTACAATGCACCTTATATTGTTAACATCGAAATCAAATTACAAAATCAGGACTAGCTATACCATAACTATTAATTGGAAAGAAAAACAACGACAACAACACATAAATAGGCAAATTGACTTCCAAATAGAATAAAATTCCCTCAACACCAAAAATACGCCGTCTCAATAATTTCCGAGTTCCCGCCATCTTGACTTTTTCATTGTTCGAACCACAGATTACATTTTCCCGCTACGCGATGACGTTTGGTTTCTTTTCGTCTATGCATCAACAATATGTATAGATTTTTGATCATCGATGTTGTTTTGTCCACAGGGCTAATCCTACAGTAAGTCAGCCATTACTCCTAGGAGTACCACACATCCTGGCTGCTTCCAATTTCGATCCTTCGAAGAAGACGGTTGTCATAGCCCACGGATGGAGAAACACACCACTGCACGATTTTAATGTTTATCTAGTTCATGGTAAGAGGGATTTTAGCACATAACATAATAACACACCTGTTATCCCCGAAGGAGTAGGCAAATATTCACATTACAGTACTTAATCCCACTGTACTATGTAACACCCACTGTTCACTATTTATGTTATGAGTCCCATGTAATAGGGGGTGAGCCTATTGCCATATACCGGGCACAACATACATATTCGTGCTACTACTGAGAATTTTGTAAAAAAACATGGTAAAACTTTGCCCAACCTGGGAATCGAACCCGAGACTCCTTGCCCGACAGTTGTACTTGCGATCACTCGGCCACTGACGCAGTCATCAGCGGCGTAACATTACAAAACCCGGTAAAAACATCAGCTTTATAAATGTCTCAACAAATACTAAAGCGATAACGTCACAGCTTAGTGTATTTGTCAAATGTGTAACATTGTACAGTTCAAAAGTGGGTATAACGTTATACAGTAGCCTAAAGTGCCGTCATGTATACCTCTGCCTACTAGGCTCACGCCTTTTATCCCCAAAGGGGTAGACAGTATGTTATGTTAAATTTTGTTTTCGCCTGATTCAAGCAATAAAATTCTGTCCCCCACAGCACCTACTAAAGCTCCTCCTATCTTTATTTCCAGCTTACCTACAGGCCGAGGACATAAACATGATCATGGTGGATTGGAGCATAGGAGCCGGCGCCTTATACATCGTGGCCATTGCCAATAACATCCGAACAGGTAAGGTCATCATTATCAACAGCCCAATACAGCCGACTGAAGGACTAGGCTTCGTCTACATCAGGGGGCTTACTCTTGAATCCAATTCCGATCGATCAACATTGGTATTGTGAAATTTCGTACTCTTGAGTTGCAACACTAGCGCCCGTTGCATCCGTATTGCATGGATATTGAATGAACTAAATGATATTGAATTTGGCTTTATATTCCGTACTCTGAATGCTATTTTAACAGTTACGGTAAGGGTTGTATAGTTTTGACATTGAATAATTATTGAGATTTTATTGGATTGAAATTGCATTGACATTGAGATTGGTATCAAGAGTAAGCACCCTGGTCATCTTAATTCAGAGTAATATTGTAGATTCGAAAGTATCTGAGTTTATAAATTTCTATTTCGTTGCGGGAACCAAGACAGTTACTCATGTCCCTGGGACGTTGGACTTCAGTGTTCCGGTGTTTTCATGGTTGTATCTACTGTAAATCCTTGCAGTGGTTTTGGAAGGTTGTGGTGAGGTTGTCCCATTAAAAAAGTTATCGTTAGGAGGAAAACATTTAGATATTATTACATAACATAACATCACGCCTTTTATCCCCGAAGGAGAAGGCAAAGGTGCTCATTATGCCACTGTTCAATGTAACATCCTCTTTTGACTATTTTATGTTATGAGCCCCATGTAATAGGGGATGAGCCTATTGCCGTATACCGGGCCCAATTCCAGACTCCGTGCTACTACTGAGATTTTTTTTTAAACTAAGTAATACTTTGCCCGACTCGGAAATCGAACCCAAGACCCCTTGCCCGGCAGTCGCACTTGCAACCACTCGGCCAACGAGGCAGTCAATTTGTTACTGAATCACCTCAACACGGCTGAAGGGATAGTGATGAAATATGGAACACGGGTAGATTATGATCTGATTCAACGCATAGGGTACTTTTTGCCACGGGAACGCGATAATAGAGATGTCTTCCCCGTACTTATTGAAATGGTTACCTAAGTAAGTTATTAGCTACACTATTAGGTATCTACCAATCATTCGACCGCATCGTTCGCTTGATAAAATTGACGTGTAAAAGTGCTGCCTTGTAGCCTATTTGCAGAAATAAATTCACTTGTTTCACTCGTTTCACTATTCGTTCTTAATCAAAAGCGACAATCATTTAATGACTTCGAATATAAGAGGAAAATAATATCTAAAACCTGCCTCGTTGGCCGAGTGGTTGCAAGTGCGACTGCCGGGCAAGGGGTCTTGGGTTCGATTCCCGGGTCGGGCAAAGTATTACAGGGTTTTTTAAAAAAATCTCATTAGTAGCACGGAGTCTGGAATTGTGCCCGGTATATGGCAATAGGCTCACCCCCTATTAGGTACATGGGACTCATAACATAAATAGTGAAAAGTGGGTGTTACATTGTACAGTGGTATAATGTGCACCTCTGCCTACCCCTTCGAGGATAAAAGGCGTGATGTTATGTGAGTAACAAATATACACACAAATTCATTCATAAACGAAGTCATTTTAATACAATTCTTCCACTCCTTAATCCCAGGTGAACAGGTTGCGAAATTCATCACCTGGTTGAATTCCGAAACTGGAGCGTCCCTGGACAACTACCACCTCATCGGGCACAGTCTAGGTGGACATCAAGTTGGAATTATTGGACGGAACTTGGGCGGAGAGATCCCTTATATCACTTGTAAGTATATATTTTTATGGGATTTGAAAATCATCGAATGACTGCTCCCGCCTGGGTGAGGCGGAAGGGAGTGTCAGACTCTTACTGACTAAAAACCACCCCGTTCCTTCTCCTTCACGTCGAGCCGGAGCCCCGGTTACCCATTAGTCCCCTTCCGCATCATGGCCTGCACTAGACCTGGACGCGAGAGGTCGCCATCGCCGATCAGTTCCCTGAGGGCACGGCGGTGCTCAGCCCACGCAGGGCATTCCGCTACAGTGTGTTCCACCGTGTCCTCAGGGCGGTCGTCGCAGTGATGACACCATTTTTATGAGATAAATCAGTAAACAGTAGACAGATCACCTGATGGTAAGCAATCAACGCCACCCATAGAACAGTAGCGGAGTTACTAGTACGTTGCCGGCCTTTCAGTGGTTAGGAATTTAAGAATTATTGGGAACTAGCTTTCACCCGTGGCTTCGCTCGCGTCACAAAAAGATAAAAAGTAGCCTGTGGCATATACCAATACACACAGCGCCATCTATACCAATACGTTTGTTTCCCTCGGGAACATCATTTTTTTCCGGAATAAAAAGTACCCTATTATTTAATCCGGACTTCTAATTTTACGTCTGCAAAAATTCAAAGCAATCGGTTTAGTAGTTACGGCGTGAAAGCGGAACAAACAAACAAACAAACAAACTCACTTTCCGATTTATAATATTAGTAAGGATTCAGGGATTGGGGAGGAAGGAAATTGGTACTCTTATGGTACCTTTCGTATGGCTCCAGCTATCTATAATAAATTACCAAAAGAGCTAAAACAAGCTAATGTTAATTATTTTAAAAAATCTTTAAAACAATTACTGTGTCAAAAATGTTATTATAGTGTCTCAGATTTTTTAATGGATAAATTTTGATTTTGCTTATTTGTTGACTTATGTTCAGCTATAACGTATTGACTTCAATAATCTATTAATTACCTACTTATTGATATCAATTTATTATAATTTACTAAGCATTAAGTAGTCTTCCTCATCTGACTTTTTGACGAACACTATTGACATGTAATTTATTAAAACACGACAAATGCATATTTACTTATCTAACTAATTAATCGACTTACTGATTTAAACTCTTATACGAGTATTTGTATGCCTAAAATAGGCTGATCATAGCGCACTTTAATCTAAAAATGACCAACCAAATGTACCTATATATCACAAATACAGTTTCATTTCATTTCATTTACTCCAACAACCTCACTCACACAACGAATCACAACGCAAGCGATGTTTCACGTCGGTTTTTTGCTCAGCCGTAGTATCACTACGGTCGAGCCGAATGACGTCACACCAAGTCATGTTCAACACTTTCTTTTCTGCTTCACAGCCCTGGACCCTGCGATGCCCGGTTGGATTGTCAACCCATCAGGCTTCAAGTCTACCGATGGTAAATACACGGAGGTGATTCATACTGACCTTGGGTATGCTGGTCGCGTCCAACCGCTGGGTGACGTGGACTTCTATCCGAACCAGGGATTCAATATGCCTGGATGTGATACTAAACACTGCAGCCACCACAAGTAAGTGGAAACTTTTAGCATTTTACTATTTTTTTTTTTTTGGTACAAGCCCGCCACATCCTCCCAAAACCGCTGCAACTCCTGTAAGCCAGGATCTACAGTAGATACAACCATGAAAACACCGGAACACTGAAGTCCAACGTCCCAGGGACATGAGTAACTGTCTTGGTTCCCGCAACGAAGTGAATCAGAAGATATTATAAGAGGAGAAGAAGAAAAAACTATACTTAGTTTACTATAGCATTTTACTATTATCTCCAAACTGGTCGATGGACGCAAAGATGGTCACAAGCCATCGTGTGTAGACGGACATACAAACACACATAATTACACGTCTGTCTCCCATGGAGGTAGATAGAGACTATGGACTACCAATAGGGATGATGACAGTCCGTAAGTTAGGTAATGAAAAAATATTAGACATGTATTTTTTTTTATTTTGTCGCATAATAAAACAATACTTAGATAAAACGAATCAAAGTTTAGGAGTGGGGGCTATTTCTACATATAAAATGTACATAGAAGTCACGCGCCGAGCAATGCATCTCGGGTTCGATTCCTGGATCGGGCAAAGTATACTGGGTTTTTAAATAATTCTCAGTAGTAGCACGGAGTCTGTGTATTGTGTCCGATATATGATAATAGGGTCACCCCCCATTACATGGGACTCATAAGCGTAACAAGTGAAAAGTAGGTGTTACATTGTACAGTGGCATTAAGGGCCGTAAAGTGCACCTCTGCCTACCACTTCGAGGATAAAAGGCGGGATGTTGTTATCTCTATTTGGAGGCTGAGTCACCTTCGTCCGTAGGAGAGCACCCCAAAATCAATATCCCTACACGTGGCCTCTGGGTGGTGCTAACCAGGTGACACTTTGGTGGTAGGCTTCGGCCGCCGGCTTTATGACCACCCATCGAGCAAAAGCGTGTCGCCAAGCGGCCCAGCCGTGTTCCGCCACGATGCTCGGTGACGCCGTATGAGAGGATGGGTCGAGATGGTTGTTCCACTGTAGGATAGCCGGTCTGGCGCGCGCTGGTGTAGCTACACCGGGTGTCCAGTCGCGGAGGGTAGCGGGATCCGAGGCACGGTGCACCGCTGGCCGACCGCAGATAGTTGGGGGCCCAACTAGCGTGCTAGCCACACGTGAAAGGCTGCCCCGCCATCTAGCGAAAAATCCCATGGATACGCCATCGTGCCGGTTGGCGACCGGAGGAGAGGGCCCGATGGATATTCGTGGGGGGGCTCGGGCGTCCCCGCAGTCTCCAGACTGGCCTCCCAATGGTGTGGTTAACTACGGTGCGCGTCGTGGGGTCGCCTGCGTGGGGGACCATTTCACTGCCATCCTCTCAGCAACCTTCCACTCTACATTATGACACTGAGAAATAAGAAAAGGGTTCAACAGCGGCTGCACTCCCTCTCCTACATAGTGCACCTCTCAAATATTCGAGGTTTGCACTCTAATGTCAATGCGGTCCATCACCACCTCGAGACCGAGAACCCTACACTCTTGTTTCTCTCGGAGACCCAGATCAGGTGCCCGTCGGACGTATCCTACCTGAACTACCCTGGTTTTTCCCTGGAGCACAATTTTGTTCCGCATGCAGGTGTATGCGTATACGTCCGAGACGGCATCTGTTACCGGCGTCTCCGAAACCTTGAAGACCCAAGCTTTTCTGCTCTCTGGATACTGGTGGACATAGGCATGGAGAAAATTCTTTATGCCTGTGTCTATCGGTCGCACAGCGGAGATTTGGAGGCGACCAGATTAGCGCAATACCTCGGCGAAGCGGCGGATGCGGCTCGTCAGGCGTACCCTTCGGCCCAGTTGGTGTTACTGGGGGACTTTAACGCTCATCATCAGGAGTGGTTATTCCCATACCAGTGCACCGACCATGCTGGAAGGGAAATGCGTAAGCTTGCGCTTTCGCTTGGCCTGACCCAGCTGGTCCAGGAAGCCACAAGGGTGCCCGATGTCGATACGCACACTGCCAATTGCTTAGACCTTCTGCTGACAACTGATCCAGACCGCTACTCGGTGACAGTCTCATCACCTCTAGGTAGCTCTGACCACTGTCTGGTGAAATCTGTATCGACACACTCCCCACCAGATCCGAGTCCCAGAGGACCTCGGCGGATGTGGCGATACAAGTCAGCGGACTGGGATGGGATGCGATCTTTTTTCGCTTCCTATCCTTGGCGGCCTGTCTGCTTCTCTTCTGATGACCCGTCAGCTTGTGCGGAAGCCGTAACGGGGGTGCTGCGCCAGGGCATGGAATACTACATTCCATTCTCGGACGTGGCATCCTCTGGTGGGACCCGTCCTTGGTTCGATGCCGACTGCGGACGTGCCGAAGCGCAAAAGCAGGCGGCATACTTGGCATGGGCGGATGCCAGGCGCCGTAGGGCTGATGACATTCATCAAAAGAAGAGAGCCTTTAATCGGGCTGCCAAGTCATGCAAAAAGGCATTACGGATGGCTCGATTTAACCACATTGGCCGTATAGGGAACAAACTAGCTTCCTACCCAGCGGGAAGTAAAGCTTTTTGGTCCCTGGCCAAGGCGGTTGAATCGAACTTCTGTCGCTCCTCACTTCCTCCGCTCCTGAGGTCTGACGGGACGCTGGCTCACACTGCGGTAGAGAAAGCAAATCTATTTGCTTCTCTATTTGCGGAGTCTTCGCGTCTTGACACTGGTGGCGCCTTGCCTCCTTCTGTTAATAGCGTATGCAAGACGAATATGTCGCAAATTCGCATTCGACAGAGGGAGGTATATAGGACGCTACGCGATCTGGACGTGAACAAGGCCAGTGGTCCCGACGGAATCCCAGCCCTGGTTTTAAAAACCTGTGCGCCTGAGTTGTCTCCAATCTTGACACGTCTGTTTCGCCTTTCCTTGGAGACGGGTCTAGTACCGGTTGCTTGGAAGCTGGCCAACGTACAGCCTGTGCCTAAAAAAGGTAGTCGTGCCGACCCTAACAATTACCGCCCTATTTCGGTCACGTCCATACTCTGCAAGAGCATGGAACGTGTTCTTAACAATAGACTCCTGGCATACCTTGAAGGTAACGATCTCCTCAGCGATCGGCAATACGGGTTTCGACGTAACCGATCGACTGGGGACCTTCTTGCGTATGCCACTCACATATGGAGCGAGGCCATAGAGGGGCACGGAGAGGCACTAGCAGTCTCCCTCGATATTTCGAAGGCCTTTGACAGGGTATGGCACGACAGTCTAATCGGCAAGCTTCCTGCATATGGACTTCCTACTGGTCTGTGCAGATGGATAGCAGACTTTCTGAGGGATCGGTCAATACGAGTAGTCATCGATGGCTGCTCGTCTGACCAATTCGGTATTAATGCCGGCGTCCCTCAGGGGTCAGTACTTTCAGCGACGCTCTTTTTGCTGCACATAAACGACCTGCTTAAGCCCGGTATCTTTGGGTATGCAGATGACAGCACAGTTGTTGAAAGGTATGTGTCCGGTGCGCGGACTAGCGGAACACAGATCCAGTCTTTAAGAGAATCCATGGTCGAACGTTTGAACTCGACCTTGAAGGCGGTGTCCGACTGGGGTGACGCCAACTTGGTTAGGTTCAATGCTAGCAAGACCCAGGCGTGTCTATTCTCCGCCAAACGGAGTCAATTTCCGCTGACTCCTACTTTCCGGAATGTATCCGTACCGATAACCGATCGTCTTGAGCTTCTTGGTGTAACTCTGACGCCCACGCTCAACTTTGGCTCCTATATAGAGTCAAAAGCGCAACTGGCTGGTAGGAAGTTGGGTGTCCTTTGGAGGGTGAGACGGTACTTCACGCCGAAACAATTGCTGAGCCTGTACCAAGCACAGGTTCGGTCCTGTATGGAGTACTGCTCTCATCTTTGGGACGGCTCGGCTAAATATCAGCTGGACGCGTTAGAGCACATTGAGAGGCGTGCCAGGAGGCTTATCGACGATGATGCGCTTGTGAAGGCTCGGCTTCAAAGCCTCGAACACAGGCGTAAGGTTGCAAGCCTTTCGGTTTTCTACCGGATACATTTCGGGGAGTGTGCGGGGGAATTGCACAACTTGATTCCCCCTAGTCCTTTCCATCATCGTACCACAAGACAATCCGCGAAGCGTCACCGATTCATGGTAGATGTTCCGCCCACACGCACGAAGCGCTTTGCTTCAAGCTTCCTTGTGCGTACTGCTAAAGAGTGGAATTCTTTGCCAGAGTCTGTATTTCCTGAAGGGTATAACCTGGGAGTCTTCAAGGCCCGAGTGAATAGGTTGCTTATGGGACGACGTGCTCCAACGTAGACCGCATCATCGCTTACCAACAGGTGAGATAGTGGTCAAACGTCGCCCCATCAATTATAAAAAAAAAAAAAAAAAAAAAAAATCTCTTACTTTCTTTCTTTTCAGGTGTATCTTCTACATGGCTGAATCTCTAATAAGAGGTGGTTTCACTGGACAGCGATGTGACTCCTTGTGGCAAGCCCTCACTGGACGCTGTGCATCATCAGACACTCTGCCGATGGGAGGCACCACCGCTAAACCTGGGTAAGATATCAGTATATCAGGTCGGTAAACGAGCAGACGAATCACCTGATGGTAAGCAATCGGTGCTTACGGACAAACTTCCGAAGCTGCTGTCCAATACAATAAAATATTAAAAAATAATCACACATTCGTTAATTGATTTTATGACCAACTTCATTTTAGTATTTTTACAGCATTTTTTAAGAAATAAGTATGCTTGTTTGACGATAAATAATCGTGACGTCACAATACACAATCTCGTACAAAATTCATAGAAAATTGACGTTTTGACAGTTCGAAAAAAGTATTGAATTTGTCTAGTTGACAAGTACCCTATTAGCATGCTTATTTCAGGCATGTTTGCGTCTCGTCAGGCGTTCGATTTTCGAACACTTTTTTTATAGGATAAGCCGGTAAACGAGCAGATGGATCACCTGATGGTAAGCAATCGGTGTCGCCCATGGACACCTGGAACACCAGAGGCGTTACAAGTGCGTTACCGGCCTTTTGGGGATTAGGAATTTGAACATTTTTGAGCATGCTCAATAGAATACCTTATAACGTGCTATTTTATAAATGTTTGTGTTTAATATCAAATTGAACACTTATGAATTTGTAGAGTAAGTAAAATAACTAAGTCGCCGCCGTCCGTGAGTCACTGCAGGGTGCCACTTGAAAATCAGCGTTGGGCAGGAATGCCCAACTATGCTGAGGTGGAGGCCCTTTTGGCATGTGCACACACACTACAATATTACTATGTATTTTATTATTTATGTTTAGTTTTTTTTTTGTATATTTAATTTTCTTTATATCAAAATCTTATTGCATTTGTTTTGTATTGTATGTAAATTATTTTGTTATATTTTGATGATTTTTTATTATGTATTTATGTAAGTATCTGTATCTTTATTTTTCATAATCTTTGTTTGTGTGCCATTTGCCAAATAAATGCTTTTTCTGTCTTTCTTTCTTTCTAATATTGTGTATTTTGTTTTCCTTTACAGAGCTACCGGGATATACTACTTGACGACAAATGCTCAACCACCATTCTCACAAGGCTAAGTTAAATAATTATATTATAGTATTTAAGAAAATTGCTTTGTTTATTTTATTACTTAATTTATTTTACTTTTTTACCGACTTCAAAAAAGAGGAGTTTCGACTTCTATCCTATCAGTGGGTAGGTTTTATACCCTAAGGGGTAGGCGGAGGTGCGTACTACAACTTAATGCCATTGTAAATTGCAAGACTCACTTTTCACTATTTATGTTATGAGTCCCATGTAATAGGGGGTGAGCCTATTGCCATAATAATATACCAGGCACAATTCCAGACTCCGTGCTACTAATAAGATTTTTTAAACCCAGTAATGCTTTGCAGTCGCACTTGCAACCACTCGGCCAACGAGGAAGCCTATTAGTATTAACAATAGTTATTTTTTGCTTTTTACTTTTCACATTTTGATTGTTTTTAATTTATTTTTTGTTTTTTTTTAATTGATTTTCAATGGAACAAGTCTACCACAACCTCCCATAACCTTTCTGATGGCTCCTTGAAGCGCCCTTACGCTTGAGTCTGGTTCTGATCACCCGTGCTTGTCGTCCGCAGGCCTGTGCTTACGGTGGCCGGAGATCGTCTCGGGATCCCCAACGCCCCGAGTGTCTCTCGCGACGGCCGGGGCGTGAGGAGGTTTGTTCCCTTACGCGCTTCGCCTCCTCCTTAGCTAGCATGACTGCTTCGCAGGAGGAGACGGCATTCCAGTCCTTTTCGCTCCGTACCATGGTCTGAACCAGAGGTGTGATGGTCACCTTATTTTTGATGGGGAAAATCATCCAATAACTTCTCCCGCCTGGGTGAGGCGAGAGGGAGTGTCAGACTCGTACTGACTAAAAACCACCCCGTTCCTACTCCGGCACTTCGAGCCGAAGCCCCGGCAACCTGTTAAGTCAGCCCTACTGGGCCCCATCTGTGGTAGTCTTACGCTTGGGTCTGGTTCTGGTCGGGCGGCGAGTCACCCGTGCTCGACTGTTTCGCAAGAGGAGACGGCATTCCAGTCCTTTTCGCTCAGTCAAGTCACATTTTTTTGAGGGGGAAAATCATGCAATGACTTCTCCCGCCTGGGTGAGGTGAGAGGGAGTGTCAGACTCTTACTGACTAAAACCAACCGCGGGGCTTCGGCTCGAAGTGCAGGAGTAGGAACGCTACTCCTGCACTTCGAGCCGAAGCCCCACCAACCTGTTAAGTCCTCCGCAGCTCCGTATCGGCATCTGCCATACTGGGCCCCATCTGTGGTGATCTGGCTCCTTGAAGCGCTTGAGTCTGGTTCTGATCCCGTGCTCGCCGTCCGCAGGCCCGTGCTTACGTCCGCGATCCCCGATGCCCGAATTGTCTTTCGCTTCAGCTGGGGCGTGAGGTGGTTCGTTCCCTCCGCCTCCTCTTTAGCTAGCATGACTGCTTCGCAGGAGGAGACGGCATTCCAGTCCTTTTCGCTCCGTATCATAGTCTGAACCAGAGGTTTGATAGTCACACTTGTAGAAAATTATATCTCCGATAACCTACCATAGCAACGACTTGACGAGCACGGCCGTACTTATGTCTTACGCTATAATGTATATTTTCGTAAAGCAGAGAATAGACCAAGTGTTTGTTTATCGGAAAGAATTTGTTAATCTATTTTAATCTTATTACTTAAAGGATAATTAATATACTGTAACTACATAGAAATTATATCAGCCGTGTGATGGAAGAGTAGAAACGTCTGTCTCAAATTCAGAGTCAAGAATAGAATAGAATAGAATAGAATAATTTATTTGCATTGAATGTAGGTACATAATATAAGGTCTTACAAAAGTATATTGTTCCTGGTACATTCTACCATATGGCATGCAAATTTTTATTTTTTAAATCTTAAAATCTATGAACATAGTGGACTATAATACCTACTATGTAAGTTATCTATAAGACTATTATAATTATTAATGGATGACATAATCCTAATAATATTTGAAAATTTACCAAATTCACAAATTAAACAACTTACAACAAATCAGTCTATATGTTATCGAATAAAAAATCTGACACAGAATAGTAACACTTTTGTAATAACAAAGATGCAAGTTGTTTTTTAAAGATTCTCAATGGTTGCTCCTTAATGCTACTCGGAATCTTGTTATAAATGATAGGTGCCATACCTAGGACACTTTTTTAATAAAGATGTTCTGTAACCACCGGTACATAGCTTGTCTTTATATTGAGACCTTATAGTTCAAGGCATTTATTTAAATCAAATCACAGTATAGTCGTGGTGGCCCGGAGTTTTAAGACGCCCGCTTCTCATACATGAGGGTACGGGTTCGAAACCTACCAACGGCAAGTACCAATGTGACTTATTCCGAGTTATATGTACTTTCTAAGATTATCTAGACACCACTGACAAACGGTGAAGGCAAACATCGTGAGGAAACCTGGGCTTATAATGTCTAATTATAAGTTTGGAATCGCCAACCCATATTGAGCAAGCATGGTGATTGATGCTCAAATCTTCTCCGTGTGAGAAGAGGCTTTGTTCAGCAGTGGGCATTTATAGGCTGTTGATGATGACAGTTTGGTACTTTTGACGATGATGACAGTTTGGTCAACGCAAGTGCGTCTGCCGGGCAAGGAATCTTGGGTTCGATTCCCGGATCGGGCAAATTATGACAGGGTTTTTTTTAAATCTCAGTTGTAGCACGAAGCCTGGAATTGTGCCTGTTACATGACAATAGGCTAGTGAAGCTGGTTGCCCAGCAACCGCGCGAACCGTGCAGTTAAATCTCAAAATCAATCAAAATATCTCGAAATTAAACACAAAGTCACAGGCAAAGCTAGTACACCTATAACCCAATTAACAAGTGTTTAATCAGTCAAGGTAGATTAAAATATAAAGTAACTAGATTTCTTATGTTATATACATGTAAGTTTATATAGGGATTTATTTTATGTAAGTCTATACTATCCTTTTTTGTGTATTTCTGTTTAGTCTTAAATACGCTTGCTTCTTGCATCGACCATTGTTTTTGTCTCTGCATCACCCAAAGGTCTGGCTGGAGGAGAATGCCCTAGGCATTAAGCCCACTTTGTACATAAGTGTGTGCATGAATACTTTTAAAATAAAATAAAATAAAAATTTCTTTCCGCGGTTTCTCCTGCTTGGCCAACGGCAATATAGTAGTTCTGAAGATTTAGAAAATCAAAAAGATATTGTTAACAAGAAAGAAAGAAGAAAGAAAAAAAAAAACATTTATTTAGCACCTGGCACGATGCAGCATAAAAAAAGACAATCAAGATGTGACAGTGGAAGTAATAAAAATATAAGAGTTGAAAAATTTAAACAGAAGAATTAAAAAGGAGACGCTGACAACATGCCTATGCTAAAAGGGTCACCCACTCAGTGTAAGCCAGGCATACAGGTTACCCAGCACTGATTTTCAGTGGGCACCCATGCAGTGACGCAACAAAGTGTACAGTTGTCATGGCAGTAAGTGGACACCGCAGTCTTTTGATGAAATAGGTCGGTAAATGAGCAGAGCTCTCTCACACTGAGAAAAGGCTTAGGTTTCCTTTAATTGAATGGAATGACATAATTAATTATTAAATATAATTTTTATTAAAAAATCAATACAATGCATGTGGGAAGATATAAATTAATTACTAATAGAATTATTAGATGATATTTACTGCATTGAACTTTTGTATTGTTAAATTATAACCAATTGAAATGTATCATTGTTACTATGGGAACGAAATAAAGCATTATTTATTTATTTATTACTAGCTCTTACCCGCGGCTTCGCTCGCGTCACGAAAGGATAAAAAGTAGCCTATATGACATATACCAATACACACAGCGCCATCTATACCAATAATTTCGTTTTCTCTCGAGAATAACAAATTTTTCCGGGATAAAAAGTACCCTATTATTTAATCCAGACTTCTAACTATACATCTGCAAAAATTCAAAGCAATCGGATTAGTAGTTACGGCGTGAAAGCGGAACAAACAAACAAACAAACAAACTCACTTTCCGATTTATAATATTAGTAAGGATTAATGTGTAGATACAAACATACATACGTACAAATGTTCGTATTATAATTTACACCTGCGAATGATAAGAGATAAGATTTCGCGCACTCGAATTAGTCTTTAATTAATTAACACCTAGGTTTAATCACTCTCCTACTAACCATGGACAAGTTGATCGTATTGCTGGCGATTGGATTCATTAGCGTTTCGGGTAAGCAACTTTCATATTATTTTTATCGTATAGGGTAGTAAATGAATAGATTGAATAATAGATTCATCATCATCAACAGCCTATAAATGCCCACTGCTGAGCAAAGCCTCTTCTCACACGGAGAAGATTAGAGCATTAATCACCACGCTTGCTCAATGCGGGTTGGCGATTTCAAACTTATAATTAGAAATTATAAGTCCAGGTTTCCTCACGATGTTTTTCCTTCACCGTTTGTCAGTGGTGTCTAAATAATCTTAGAAAGTACATATAACTCGGAAAAAGTCACATTGGTACTTGCCGTTGGTAGGTTTCGAACCCGCACCCTCATGCATGAGAAGAGGGCGTCTTAAACCTCCGGGCCACCACGACAAGAATAATAGATTAATAGAATAAAATTGCACAACTTGATTAGCCCTAACCCTTTCCATCATCATACCACAAGACAATCGGCGTAGCGTCACCGATTCATTGTAGATGTCCCACCCACACGCACGAAGCGTTTCGCATCAAGCTTCCTTGTGCGTGCTAAGGAGTGGAATTCTTTGCCAGAGTCTGTGTTTCTTGAAGAGTATCTTCAAGGCCCGAGTAAATAGGTTGCTTATGGGACGACGTGCTCCATCGTAGACCGAATCATCGCTTACCACCAGGCGAAAAATGGATCACCTGATGGTACGCAATTGGTGCCGCCCGTAGACACCTGGAATACTAGAGGAGTTACCAGTACGTTGTCGGCCTTGAGGGGTAGGGCTTTGAGGATGGGGGATTTGGGCAGGGGGAAATTGGGTCTTCGGTGATTCCAAGGATGTTGTATTCATCATCAACATTATGTCTTTTACGTGAGACACCCATGCTTTGTTACGAATGAGCGGACTCGCGTCTGTAATCGCAACACTTACCACCACCATATATTTGAAACTAGCTTTGATCCGCGGCTTCGCTCGCGTCACAGCGCCATCTATACCAATACTTTTGTTTTTCCTCGGAAATATCATTTTTTCCAGGTTAAAATGTACCCTATTATTTAATCCGGACTTCTAACTTTACGTCTGCAAAAATTCAAAGCAATCGGTTGAGTAGTTACGGCGTGCAGGTGGAACAAACAAACAAACTCACTTTCAGATTTATAATATTAGTAAGGATAACATAACATACATCACGCCTTTTATTCCCCCGAAAAAGCAGAGGTGTACGTTATGCCACTGTACAATGTAACACCCACTTTTCACTATTTATGTTATGAGTCCCATGTAATAGGGAGTGAGTCTATTGCCATATACCGGGCACAATTCCAAAATCCGTGCTACTATTGAGATTTTTTTTAAAGTCAGTAATACTGTGCCTGTCCCGAGAATCGAACCCGAGACCCCTTGCCCGGCAGTCACACATGCGCCCACTCGGCCAACGAGGCAGTCAGACAGAGATATAGATATAAGAATAAAAACCGCAGTCTAAGTACACCCGCAACACTAGAGGTACCACGAGTGTTGCCGACCGAGTAGGAAACTCCTTAGTTTCGTAATGATTAAAAAAATAGTGATGCAATCAAATCGTCGGTTGGGCGTATTTCAAGGTCATATCAACAGCGGACTGCCTAGTTGGCCGAGTGGTCGAAAGTGCGACTGCCGGACAAGGGTTCGATTCCCGGGTCGGGCAAAGTATTACTGGGTTTTTACAAAATTCTCAGTAGTAGCACGAAGTCTGGCATTGTGCCCGGTATATGGCAATAGGCTCACCCCCTATTACATGGGACTCATAACATAAATAGTGAAAAGTGGGTGTTACATTGTACAAGTGGCTGTGCAGCTCTGCCTACCCCTTCGGGGATAAAAGGCGTGATGTTATGTTATCAACAGCGAGTGACAGTCCACTGCTGCACTATGAGTCTCCTCTACATAAGAGGGTTTGTCATAATCTCCGCAGGCAGGCGGGTACGAGATCGCAGTATAAAAGGTTCAGGTTTATCAGAGAGCGCTTCTGCACGGGGTTTATCAAATGTGTAGCATCTTAATCAAGTCTCAAGTCAAGTGCAGGAAGAGTCAGGGTAGTGCAAATGTACTCTACTGCGCCGTGTTTCCATCGTCAGACTCTTACTGACTAAACATTTCATTTGAAAATTTTATTTTTTCTTCTACCTTGACATTTACCTACTTTTATTTCTACAATTGTTAGTGTGAGGACCCTGCGAGATTTCTCCTCGCCATTGCTTTTCTAATTACCCATATTCTGACAGTTTGAGTATTTGTGCGACCCACGCCAATGTTCTTTAGGTTGGTATTGTTCGTCGAATCAGTCAGCCTCACCTGTTAATTGAGCTGATTGTAAACCGACACATGCGTACTGCCTTCAGAACGGGTTCACGCAAACTGTTGTGGTTCTTTTCTCAAAAGGCCACTACAGAAAGAACTTGCACGGTTCTCACACATAATCTTTTATACACATTTGTCTGGACTTTAAAAGAGACGGTTTCGGTCCTCTGAGTTTGTTTCGGCATTTCTTCTCAGAGTAGTCAGTTAGAAAATGTCGGCCTCATCGTTCAGAAATAATTTCACTTGTTTCACCCTCTCCGGGCTGGGGCCTCGGTAGCATAAAAGGTGTGATGATACGCTACGTGTTACAATACGTTACTTTTCTTATCATATTTTTTTATTTAATGTACTTATTAAGATAATAATATTTTAATTAATCACTTCGTACTCACAAGAATTAAAACAACAGATTAGATTACCCAAATAAATTAATATTACTGTCATAAAAATAGTACCATCATGAGCTAAAGTTCACATGTGATTACATGTAGTGTATTTTGCAGTCAACTAATGGTATCGAGGTTGATTTGTCAACGACACACGTAGTTACCTACTTAGGTGTTGTCATGAGCTAAAATTCTTATGTAATCATCAGTCATTTTATTTTTTAATGGGACAAGCCCGCCACAACCTCCCAAAACCGCTGCAACTCCTGTAAGCCAGGATCTACAGTAGATACAACCATGAAAACATCAGTCAGTATAATCTAAAGACTTTGGATTAATTTTGGCCATACTGAGCTACATATTAGACAGAGACCGTGCAGCAGCGCTCTCTGATAAACCTGAACCTTTTATACTGCGATCTCCAACCTGCCTGCCGGCGGTCTTTTTTTTTAAGGGGGGAAAATCATCGAATGACTGCTCCCGCCTGGGTGAGGCAGAAGGGAGTGTCAGACTCTTACTGACTAAAAACCACCCCGTTCCTTCTCCTGCACGTCGAGCCGGAGCCCCGGTTACCCGTTAGGTTCTCCGCGACAGACTCATAGTCTAGTAGTGGCCTATCACCTGTTATTAATATGACCTTGAAATACGCCCAACCGACAGTTTGATTGCATCACAATTTTTGAAAATGATCACGCAATCAAACAGCTTCCTACACGGTCAGCCACACATGCAGCTTCTTATGTTGCAGGTGGAATTAGACTACAGTGTCTGCTTGCTGTCAGGATAACTGTTTGTTGCTTTTATATAGTACTAGCTTTTACCGGCGGCTTCGCTCGCGTTACAAAAGGATAAAAAGTAGCCTATGTGACTATCCATCCGTTCAACTACCTTCAGTTAAAAAATCACGTTAATCAGTGCCTCCGTTCTGCCGTTTAAGACAGGCAAACAAACAAATAGCTATCCGCTCGCGTGGAATTCGGTTATATCGCGCTATTTAGATTTTTCCAATAAGTAGGTAATTCGTTGACTGGTTGTAAATGACATACAACGCCATCTATACCAGTACATACAGCGCCATTTATACCAATATTTTTGTTTTTCCTAAGAAAAATCAATTTAGTCCGGGATAAAAAGTACCCTATTATTTAATCCAAACTTCTAACTTTACGTCTGAAAAATTTCAAAGCAATCGGTCTAGTAGTTACGGCGTGAAGGCGGAACAAACAAACAAACAAACTCACTTTCCGATTTATAATATAAGTAACGATAGGTCAGCAAACAAGCGGACAGATCTCCTGATGGTAAGCAATCAACGCCGCCAGTGAGCACCCGTAATACGAGATGTGCGATTTATATCGTTATGGGACTTCAGTGTTTCGTGTGTTTGCATGGTTGTGTCTAATGTGCACAGGAGTTGCAGCGGTTCTGCGAGATTGTATTTAAGTGCGGGAGAGCCATGCTTCGGTACGAATGGGCAGGTTCGACCGGAGTGATACCACCAACGAGCAGGCCATCGATGTGAAACAACGCTAGCATTGTGTTTCGTCGTGTGAGCGAGGTTACCAGAGGCTCAATTACTCCCCCTTCCCAGTCTCCCCAATCCCCGAATCCTCCACATTCCTCAAATTCCCAATTCCCAAAAGGCCGGTAACGCACTCGTAACGCCTCTGGTGTTCCAGGTGTCCATGGACGACGCCGATTGCTTGCCATTAGGTGATCCGTCTACTCGTTTACCGTCTTATGCCATAAAAAAATATATTTATATACAGGTCAAACTGCGAACCTCCTTCTTTTCTTGAAGTCGGTTAAAAAGTATATTTTTCCCTTTTCAGCGCTTCCCTACGATCCTGTCATCAGGAAATTGGGCGATGGTCCTCGTTACCAGTATATGCCAGGCCCTGATGGGTCCCTCCACCTGGTAGACCTTTGGGGCAAGGTCAGTGATGTGGCTGAGGCAGCTAGATACAATCCGGACAGGCAGAATGTTTACCATCTTTACACGAGGTGAGGATTACTTCTTGTGAAATAACAATTAATCCGTGCAGGAATCGATTCCGTGACACTATGCAGGAGATTAGAGCTAGATTTTGATTTGATTTAATGGGAAAGAATAATATTTTTATTGTAAGTGTCGTGGTGGCCCGGAGGTTAAGACCTTCTCATGCATGAGGGTGCGGGTTCGAAACCTACCAACGGCAACCAATGTAATTTTTCCCGAGTTATATGTATTTTCTAAGATTAATTTGAGAGATTGAGAGGAAACCTGGGCTTATAATTTCTAATTGTATATGTTTGGATTGTATATAAATTATAGTTGGAAACCACCAACCCGCATTGAGCAAGCGTGGCGATTAATGCTCAAACCTTCTCCGTGTGAGAAGAGGCTTTGCTCAGCAATGGGCACTTACAGGCGGTTTGATGATGACTCCAACTTCGTACAAACCTAGGCGCCTCGATGGATATGGTAGAGGCCTTTGGTCAGCAGTGGCTACTAGGCACACATAGGCTGTTGATTGCTGATCAAGAATATTATTTTGTCATAATGTTTGAAGATTTATTGAAGAACTAGCTTCTGCCCGCGACTTTGTTCGCGTAATCCCATTTTTTCTCGTCCCCGTTCGTGATTTTCGGTAAAAAGTAAAAAAAAAAATTGGTCAAAAAGTATCCTAGGTCTCCTGGCTCTAAGCTACCTCCCTACCAATTTTCAGCCAAATCTATTCGGCCGTTCTTGAGTTATAAGTGGTGTAACTAACACGACTTTCTTTTATTTAGAGGTATATAGATTTAAGTAATATTTTAAAGGATCTACCTTTAAATTCTTATAAGAATGATTAAACACTTATCTTCTATGTATCAGTACCTATATAAGTTTAATGAGCACCGGTTTTCATATAAAAATTGATAATTTCTTTCACCCATGGCTTCAAAAACACCTAAAAATCAGTCGGATGACCCTCCTATATCATTATGCTCTCGTTTTCAGGAACAACCCTACAGTAAGCCAACCCCTCCTGATTGGTAGTGAGGGTCTCCTGGGCATCACCAACTACAACGCCAACAGACGCACTATTGTGCTCATTCATGGGTGGCTGGACTCTGTCACTGCTGATTTTAATACTGTTTTGGTACCAGGTGAGTTTTAAAAAACTTAGAATAGTAGCTAGCTTTTGGATAGGCTTCACTAACGGTCTGAACACGAGGATAAGTATATAAGTATAGCTATACTCCATCGCGAAGGACACACCGGGCGTCGGGGATCACGGGACGATCTCCGGCCATCGTAAGCGCGGGCCTGCGGACGGCGAGCATGGGTGGCTCCCGTCCGACCAGAAACAGACCCGAGCGTACGGCGCGTCGCGTTCCGCGCGCGCCTCAAAGAGCCATCAGACCACCACAGATGGGGCCCAATAGGGCCGATGCCGATTCGGAGTCGCGGAGAACCTAACGGGTAACCGGGGCTCCGGCTCGACGTGCAGGAGAAGGAAGGGGGTGGTTTTTAGTCAGTAAGAGTCTGACACTCCCTTCCGCCTCACCCAGGCGGGAGCAGTCATTCGATGATGTTCCTCCCTTAAAAAAAAAGGTATAGCTGTACTATTTAATATTCTGAGTGTCGTGGTGGCCCGGAGGTTGAAGACACCTGCTTCTCATGCACGAGGGTGCAGGTTCGAAACTTACCAACGGCAAGTATCAATGTGACTTTTTCCGAGTTAAATGTACTTTCTAAGATTATTTAGACACCACTGACCAACGGTGAAGGAAAACATCGTGAGGAAACCTGGGCTTATAATTTCTAATTATAAGTTTGAAATCGCCAACCCGCATTGAGCAAGCGTGGTGATTATTGCTCTAACCTTCTCTATGTGAGAAGAGGCTTTGCTCAGCAGTGGGCATTTATAAGCTGTTGATGATGATTTAATATTTACTTTTTTTTTCTCTCTCTCTCTTTGCTTTTAGTATATTCTCCGTACCTTATTTTTCGCTGATTTTCTACTTAAGCCCTAAGGTTGACTGGTAGAGAATGCCATATGGCATTAAATTCGCCTTATGTGCCATAATAAAATTTTGTACATATAAGAATAAATAAATAAGTGGCCCAAATTGCGAAGCGGCGACGCGACTAATCGAGCGGCGGAGTTTGCAGGCCACGACCAGAAGTGTTTGCCGCCGCGACCACAGAAAATGTTATTATAGAGGCTGAACTAGAACTTCAATTTCTGATGAATTCGTAAACTTCATAAAAAAGCAAAGCTAACCTACGATAAAATCCTAATGAACTTTCGTTTTCCTGAATGTTGGCTACCATAGGTTATGAACTCTATACATAAATATTATATTAGTTCCAAATTTCATAAGACTGGCGCCTGATTTATTGTATTACCGTACTAATTTATTCATTTGTTTCACTCGACGGTACATTTCGCTGGTCGCGCCGCCGGTCGCCGGTCTCCGTGGCTTGATCAGTACATTTCTATGTGTTTGTTTCAGTACCTTGACGCCTCTCCGGTCCCGGTTTTGTGGCTAGGCTGTTATCGATGCTCTCCAGTATTAAATGGCTATCGTTTTTAAATTTTAATGGTTTGAAATTTGACCAGGCGGAATAGTTATTCGATAGAGTTTATACCGGTCCACTCCCAAATATTACGACACCACAATTTTCTTCTTTCCTCAGCGCTTCTATTCTATTGTGACCAGCTGTTCTGATATATTATTATCTTCACACTTCACAGCGTTCCTGCAAGCTGAAGATGTCAACGTTATCGTGGTAGACTGGAGCGCAGGAGCTGGCACCATCAACTACTTCACTGCTGTAGAAAACACTCTTACATCAGGTAACAGGAAATAACCCAAATTGTAGTGTGGGAGCGCCCTGCTTCGGCTCGACCGGAGTGATACTACGGCCGAGCAGAAAACCGACGTGACACAACGCTTGTGTTGTGTTTTGCACACTGTACTATGTAAGCCGGGTATATGCCGTGCTGGGTTTAAAAAAATCTCAGTATTAGCACGGAGCCTAGAAATGTGCCCAATATATGGCAATAGGCTCACCCCCTATTACCTACCTAACCTAAATAGTGAAAAGTGGGTGTTACATTGTACAGTGGCATTAAGAGCTGAAATGTGCACTTCTGCTTACCCCTTCGGGGTTAAAAAGGCGTGATGTTATTTGATGTTATGTTATGTAATATAATTAATTTCTTTTATTTTTTTGGAAATCACCATCGTAATGTTCTATTCTTGTATAATGCAGGTCAGAGTGTAGCCAGATTCATAACCTGGTTGAACAGCGCGACTGGAGCAGTTCCCAGCATGTACCACCTGGTTGGCCACAGTCTGGGTGGCCACCAAGTTGGAATCGTTGGCAGGAACGTCGGTGGCCAGATCGCTTATATCACTGGTAAGTTGGTAACTTTTTATGAGGTATTTTCCGGAGAACCTAACGGGTAACCGGGACTCCGGCTCGACGTGCAGGAGAAGGAACGGGGTGCTTTTTAGTCAGTAAGAGTCTGACACTCCCTCCCGCCTCACCCAGGCGGGAGAAGTCATTCGATGATTTCCCTCCTTAAAAAAAAATAGGTTATTTTTCTGTATTGGAATCCAGGGTTTTTTTATACCACGATGGCGACAAGAAAAGCACACGGTTCACCTGATTGTAAGCGGTAACCGTAGTCTATGTATGCTTGTACACTTTTTATTATGGGGGGGAAACCATCCAACGACTTCTCCCGCCCGGGTGAGAGGGAGTGTCAAACTCTTACTGACTAAAAGCCACCTCGTTCCTATTCCTACACTTCGTGCTGAAGCCCCGGCAATCCGTTAAGTCTTCCGCGGCCCCGTATCGACATCAGCCCAATTGGGCCCTATCAGTGGTGGTCTGATGGCTCCTTGAGGCGCGCGCGGAACGCGACGCGCCGTACGCTCGGGACGTCGCCGTCCTCCCGCCTCACCCAGGCGGTAGAAGTCATTCGATGATTTTCCCCCCTCACAAAAAAAAGCCACCACGACGTAATAATGTTGATGACTACACTCTCATTCAAGTACCTTACACTCGTATTACGATTTTTCAATCCATAATTCTTACCCATTCCAGGTCTAGACCCCGCCTTCCCAGCATGGAACACCAATGATAACCGCTTCAGACCCAGCGATGGAGTCTACACTGAAGTTATCCACACCAACGTCGGGTTCCTCGGCTACATGGCCACACTGGCTGATGTAGACTTCTACCCCAATGGCGGCAGTGGCATGCCAGGGTGTGACAGTAATGATTGTGATCACGCCAGGTAAGGGTGGAATGGTAATTGTATTTCCTCTAATGGTTAGTCATCAGCTGTACAAAGCGCAGGGGTTTTTTTTAAGGGGGGAAAATCATCGAATGACTGCTCCCGCCTGGGTGAGGCGGAAGGGAGAGTCAGACTCTTACTCACTAAAAACCATCTCGTTCCATCTCCTGCACGTCGAGCCGGAGCCCCAGTTACCCGTTAGGTTCTCCGCGACCGAATCGGCAACAGCCCTATTGGGCCCCATCTGTGGTGGTCTGATGGCTCTTTGAGGCGCGCGCGGAACGCGACGCGCCGTACGCTCGGGTAAAGCGCAGGGGTTGGGTGACCAGCTGCTGAGCTTCGTGTCGCGGGTTCGAGTCCCGCGCTGGCCAAAAAGTGATAATGGCATTTTTTATGTAAAATGGCCATTATTAGCCTAGAGTCAAGAAGTTCGATGGTGTTTTACACCTTTGCCTCGGAAAGCTCGTGAAGTCAATGGTCCTGCGCCTGTCATCTCGCCGGTAGTGTCGGTCTGCTGTCCCATAGGGTTCATAAAGTAAGAAAACAAAGATTGCACTAAATACGCCGTCTCAATAACTTCTGAGTTCCCGCCATCTTGACTTTTTCATTTTTCGAACCACAGATTACATTTTCCCGCTACGCGATGACCTTTCCTTTTTTTGTAGTGTGTATGCTTCTTAACACTATAATATAAAAAATGCTTTGATTTTTACCTTCATTTTACTTGCATAACATAATATAATATAACATCACGCTTTTTATCCCCGAAGGGGTAGACAGAGGTCCACACAGAAGTAACACCCACTTTCACTATTTATATTATAAGTCCCATGTAATAGGCTCACCTATTGCCATATACCGGGCACATTTCCAGACTCCGTGCTACTATTGAGATTTTTTTAAAAACCTAGTAATAGTTTGCCCGACCCGGGAATCGAACCCGAGACCCCTCGCCCGGTAGTCGCACTTGCGACCACTCGGCCAACGAGGCACTCTAACACTATAATAAAAAAAATGCTTTGATTTTGACCTTCATTTTATTTGCATGTTATAATTATCAAATTCCAGATGCTACCATTACATGGCGGAGTCTCTAACTCGGGGTGGATTCACTGGACGCCGCTGTCTATCCTACCTGACTGCTATTACCGGCAACTGTAACCTTCTTGGCAGTCTCCGGATGGGAGGGCTTGTACCAAAGACAGGGTGAGTTGGACCAGATTACTCTGGAGTTTTTATTTATTTTATTTATTTATTTATTTACACACATTCAACACAGAGGACAATACATATATAAAACAGAGTACATAGGCCCCACATATTCCAACTGGAATTTCTTCCTGTGGGTCTGTGGCAGGAAAAGATATAACAACACCGAGACACATAGTGTGTTACACAAACAAGATAAATATCAATTTAAAAAAAGTAATTATACCGAAGAAACCGATAGAAATAACAATAATAAACAATAAAACAAATTAAGTCGTGGTGGCCCGGAGGTTTAAGACGCCCACTTCTCATGTATGAGGGTGCGGGTTCGAAACCTACCAACGGCAAGTACCAATGTGACTTTTCCGAGTTATATGTACTTTCTAAGATTATTTAGACACCACTGGACAAACGGTGAAGGAAAAACATCGTGAGGAAACCTGGACTTATAATATCTAATTATAAGTTTGAAATCGCCAACCCGCATTGAGCAAGCGTGGTGATTAATGCTCTAACCTTCTCCGTGTGAGAAGAGGCTTTGCTCAGCAGTGGGCATTTATAGGCTGTTGATGATGATGAAAACAAATTAATACAATACTATTTTACTAGTAGATTGGATTTGTTACTGAGTATCATTTTGATAGAAGAAAGATAGAAGGAAGAAAGAGAAGAAGAAGAAAGTAAAGAAGTCACTAGTGGTAAATCAGAAGATTTTTTCTGGATTAGGAAAAAATATGGTAAAGTGGTTTGATCATCTAAATTTTGAATTATTGCAAACTTATGTCGGAATACTGAAACGCTACTCAATTTTAAGTCGTGCTTAAGTATAGTTCTGTCTCTACAAATTCTTTGTAAAATGACAGAGATGGCACGATATTTGAGCACGACTTAAAATTGAGTAACGTTTCAGTATTCCGGCATTAGTCGGGTATTTAACTACAGGACATTTTAATTTTTTTAACGTTGCCACACTAAGATTGTCTCCTGTGTCGTGTGTACATTTACAAACATACAAGTTCACATACACATCACACCCAAACCCGGAACAACAATCTGTGGATCACACAAAGAGTTGTCCCGTGCGGGAATCGAACACTCTACGGCTAGCGGCAGCCAGTTACCTAGCCACCGTACCAACCGTGCAGTCAATGTCAATAACCTAACTGTGATATCCAAGTCGCTTGCCGAACATGGGGATTAATAACAAATCGTCCCTTTTAAACGTTTTTTGTTAAGTTTAACTTATGGTTCATCATAATGATTTTCTTTTTTTCATTAAATATCTTTCTTCCACCAGACAATCTGGAGTCTTCTACTTGGAGACCAACTCATCACCACCTTTCTCAAGAGGTTGAGAGCAGACAGAAGATGACTTGCCTTATGTTCAGGGATAATAAAGATTTTTTTTAATATCTACTACTTTATTTGATTTACTATTGTTTACCTTTACTGCCTCATTGGCCGAGTGGTCGCGAGTGAGACTCCCGGACAAGGGGTCTCGGGTTCGATTCCTAGCTTGGGCAAAGTATTATTGAGTTTTTAGAATAATTCTCAGTAGTAGCACGGAGTTTGGAATTGTGCCCGATATATGGCAATAGGCTCACCCCCTATTACATGGGACTCATAATATAATTAGTGAAAAGTGGGTGTTACATTGTACAGTGGCATAATGTGCACCTCTGCCTACAACTTCGGGGATAAAAGGAGTGATGTTATATGTATATATACTAATATATCCCTTTTCCCTTGGTCACGGCAACACGTGTGAATGGCTGAACGGATTTCACTAATTCTTTTTTTGTTGTATTTGTTATTATTAGGAAAAGGTTCTTAAGACAGAAAAAATCCTGAAAATCCTAAGAGAATGGGAGAAAACGGGATTGCGCGAAGTCGCGGGGAACAGCTAGTCCTTACTAATATTATAAATCGGAAAGCGAGTTTGTTTGTTTGTTTGTTCCGCTTTCACGCCGTAACTACTAAACCGATTTATTTGAATTTTTGTAGACGTAAAGTTAGAAGTCCGGATTAAATAATAGGATACTTTTTATCCCCGAAAAATTGATATTACCGAGGGAAAACAAAAGTATTGGTATAGATGGCGCTGTGTATATCGGTATACGTCACATAGGCTACTTTTTATCCTTTTGTGACGCGAGCGAAGCCGCGGGTAAAAGCTAGTATTTTATAAAAGAAACAAACAGATTATAATGAAATAACTTTATTTTATTTATATAATGTACTTTCAGATATTATAACATGTCCAGAAATTTAATAACATTTTCAAAAATTGTGTATTTTTTCTCAAAATTTTTGTAGATTCTCTTCTATTGATACGGATTTTATCTGAAAAGAAAAAACCAATGATTAGTAAATTAATGTACGTAATCTTTTCGAAAGGTCTCCAACAAGATCATCGAACAAAATATTACCACAGTATCATAAATAACATGGTCTAAAATTATTCACGACCAAAATGTAGGAAACAGCCTGTATATTACAATTTTTTAAGTTGACGAGGACCGGTTACACATTGAGAACTAATACAAAACATAATGCCAATGTAGCATATTGTGGGGTAGACTGCAAAAGTTTAACATTGGCTAGTGCCGTGTGTGTCGGTATCGGTTTCTTTGAGTACTTTGTTTCTTTGCAATTTTAATGAGTACGTTTATGCTTTGCTCATGGATGTTTACTGTTACTGACTGTTACTGACTGCCTCGTTGGCCGAGTGGTCGTAAGTGCGACTGCCGGGCAAGGGGTCTCGGGTTCGATTCCCGGGTCGGGCAAAGTATTACTGGGTTTTTTAAAAAATCTCAGTAGTAGCACGGAGTCTGGAAATGTGCCCGGTATATGGCAATAGGCTCACCCTCTATTACATGGGACTCATAACATAAATAGTGAAAAGTGGGTGTTACTTCTATGTGCACCTCTGCCTACCCCTTCGGGGATAAAAGGCGTGATGTTATGTTATGTTATGTTATGTTTACTGTTACTCGTAAAATATGTAACGTATCTAAAATCTTTGTCACTTATTATATTAACATAATTGTCATACTGAATGGGTTTATAAATTTATAACATAACTTGTTAAGCGAATGTGACTACCAATACAAACCAGCTGTGGTTTAATGGAGCAAAAAAAATTTTTAAACTGTACTGAAATGTTGGTTTCTTGGTTGTGTGAGTGAAACAAGTGAATTGAATTTATTTCTGGAAATAGGCTACAAGGCAGCACTTTATAAACAACAACATAACATCACGCCTTTTATCCTCGAAGGTGTAGCCAGAGGTGCACATCACGGCACTTATTACCACTGTACAATGTAACACCCACTTTTCACTATTTATGTTATGAGTCTCATGAAATAAGGGGTGAGTCTATTACCATATACCGGGCACAATTCAAAACTCCGTGGTACTACTGAGAATTTTTTTTAAAAACCAATAATACTTTGGCTGTCCCGAAAATCGAACCCGAGACCCCTTGCCCGGCAGTCACACTTGCGACCACTCGGCCAACGAGGCAGTATAATAAAGTATATAGATATATTTACCTTCTCAATTTATTTCATTTAGATAACGGCAGAAAGACCTGTGTATAAAGAAAAATAAGTTATTTTGAGGCTTTGAAGTCTTAAAAACAAGGTAAGTTATAAAGATTTAAGTGTGGGAGAGCCATGCTTCGGCACTGCTGGGCTGGCTCGACCGGAGTGATACCACGGCCTCACAGAAAGACCGACGTGAAGCAACGCTTGCGTTGTGTTTCGTCGTGTGAGTGAGGTTACCAACGGCCCAATTACCCTCCCCTTCCCCAATCTCCCCAATCCCTGAATCCCCAACGATCCTCAAACTCCTAATCACCGGTAATGCACTTGTAACGCCTCTGGTGTTCCAGGTGTCCAAGGGCGACGCCGATTGCTTACCATCAGGTGATCCGTCTGCTCGTTTACCGGCTTATGCCATAAAAAAAAGTACAAAAGGTATAAACGGGACGGTCCTGAGAAACGCTGAATAAAAATATAGTGTTTACAATATTAATAGTTTTTGTTTTCGTATTATTCAGCGACATTAGCCTTGAGCAGTTGATTGAATGCTGCTTATGAATATGAGCCTCTAATATGGCTTGAAACTAGTTCAATTCATCATCAATCATCATCAACAGCCTATAAATGCCCACTGCTGAGCAAAGCCTCTTCTCACACGGAGAAGGTTAGAGCATTAATCACCACGCTTGCTCAATGCGGGTTGGCGATTTCAAACTTATAATTAGAAATTATAAGCCCAGGTTTCCTCACGATGTTTATCCTTCGCCGTTTGTCAGTGGTGTCTAAATAATCTTAGAAAGTACATATAACTCGGAAAAAGTCACATTGGTACTTGCCGTTGGTAGGTTTCGAACCCGCACCCTCATGCATGAGAAGCAGGCGTCTTAAACCTCCGAGCCACCACGACAATAGTTCAATTCCTCATCAAATATTTACGTGAGTGAGCCGAAACCATTCGATACTAAAACTTATCACTACATAGTATAAAACAAAGTCGCTATCCGCCGTCTGTCTGTCCCTATGTATGCTTAGATCTTTAAAACTACGCAACGGATTTTGATGCGGTTTTTTTGAATAGATAGAATGATTCTTAAGGAAGGTTTATATGTGTAATACATGCATATTGCACTCGGACAAAGCCGGGTCGCTAGTTAATTAGTATTCTAAAACCTTTTTCTAAGTGTAACATACACTTTTATAAAAACCGCATCACAATCGGTTTAGTCAATTGCTAGATATTCTCACACAAACATACATACAAGTCTAACAGAGAATCTATATTTTTTTTCTTTATAAAGTCGGTAAAAAAATAAGCTTACCACCAGCGCCGGATCCAGCAGCAGTCACTTTGTCAGCTGTAAATAAAAATAGGTAAGCATTAGACTTCACAATTGGGATGATGACAGGCTATGACAATTAAAAATCTTATTAGTCCCTCAGTTAGGTAATGAAAAAATATTAGACACGTATTCTTTTATTTTGTCGTATAATAAAACAATACTTAGATAAAACGAATCAAAGTTTAGGAGTGGGGGCTAAAACGTCATTTCTACGTATAAATGTACATAGAAGTGACGTCACGTGACATTTCAAATCAATATATCGTCGAAAGTATTCGTATTAGTAAGAAAATAAAAAATACGTGTGAAATGATTTAAAATAATCTACCAAACGGATATTGAAATAAAAATTAGGATTCTACCCTATTGTCTATATACCTCTGGCTTTATTAATTATATTTTTTAATTGACTACCCCGTTGGCCGAGTAGTCGCAGGTGTGACTGCCGGACAAGGGGTCTTGGGTTCGATTTCCGGATCGGGCAAAGTATTACTGGGTTTTTAAAATGATTCTCAGTAGTAGCACGGAGATTGGAAATGTGCCCGGTATATGGCAATATGCTTACCCACTATTACATGGGACTCGTAGCATAAATAGTGAAAAGTGATTGTTACATTATATGAAGACCTTAATCTACCCCGCTGCAGAATGACAGATGATACTCACCAATGTTAGCTGCTCCACCGGCTCCACCAGCGGCATTGACGGCTGTAGAAGCTGCGTTTTCAACTGTAAATATAACAAAAATACATATATTAATAACATCATCATTAATCATCTCAGAACTTGCAACATTTTTTTTCTATCATCCCCTTTTCCATCTACTGCTTAACATAAGTGTGGGAGAGCCATGTTTCGGCTCGACCGGAGTGATACCACGGCCTCACAGGAAACCGACGTGAAACAACGCTTACGTCGTGTGAGTAAAGTGAAGAAGTCCAATTACCCAAGTCTCCCGAATCCCTACAATCCTTAAATTCCCAATTCCCAAAATGCCGGTAATGCACTTGTAACGCCTCTTGTGTTTCCGCCGCGGTTGCACCCGCGCGCTCTCTGATCGATTGGCGGGCGATTGCAATGAGAAGGCCGGTCCGGACCTAAGCTGTTTAATCGCCCGTCTTGCGATAACTCTTAACTCAACTGCCAAGTTCGGCTTCCGTTGCCCGTGCAACGACCGCGGTTCCGCAAACACCGCGGTTGACCCGCGCGCTCTGTGATCGGTTTTAGGGCGATCGCAATGTGAGCGCTGGTCCGGAACTCAACTGATTGTATAACTACCCGTCTTGTGAGATTCAACTGCCAAGTTTGATGCGATAATCGCAACCATGGCGGCTACGGGACCTCAAAAAACAGCGGTCTTGTGAGTTTAGAAAATAAATCACCGCGGTGGGCGCGGTTGCAAATCGCATCGTGAGTACGTAGCGAGACGGTTTGACATACCTACTTCTTTTTCTATTATTATTAAGTTAT